AGGATTGAAAAGATGCAGAACATAGGTGAGGGAAGGGCATCACTTCTGGGAACCAGAAAATTTTGCATTTGTGTAATAATTTTGCCACTTACTTGCTGTCTTATAGTGTGCAAGACATCTACAATCTCTTGGCCACTGAAGAAGGAACGGTCTCAGTAGATAATCTATTCAAGTCCCTCCGACTCTAAAACTCTAAAATAAGAAAGCTTAGAAGCTTTGCTGCTTAGAGGAGAGAGTGGGAGAAAGTGCAGCCAGACATCTTGCCCTGGCCGTTGGGAGGAGGTATCCCAAGGTAAACTGGGCTGACTATAAATGGAACAGACTTCTCTGTCCAAGAAATAATCAAGAAGATGCTGGGGTAATCCCTCCTCCAACCCCAAGAAGACCTAACTGAGAGTTCTTGCCAGCCCAACTACATGTGTTCTTTGCCTAGCAACATTATATGAATCTTTTTTTACCCCCTTCACTAGATCATTTATTAATTATTATATTCATTCGTTTGGTGAATATGAATATTTTCGTCATTCAAAATAATATATGTTTTATTTCATTCTATTGTGATAAGAATACTTAACAAGAGTTCTACCCTATTAACTTTTTATATGTACAATACAGTTGACTGATAATCAACAATATTATTGTTGATTATAGGCATAATGTAGAGCACATCTCTAGAATTTAATCATCTTGCTTAACTGAAACTTTACCCCATTGATTAGCAGCTCCTCATTCCACTCCCTGCTCCCGGCCACTGGCAATGATCATTCCACTCTGATTCTATGAATTGACTATTTTAGATACCTCATATAAATGGAATCATGCAATATTTGTCCTTTTGTGACTGCCTTATTTTATTAAGCATAATGTCCTCAAGGTTCATCCGTACTGTCACATATGGCAGGATTTCCTTCTTTCTTAAGGCTGAATAACATTCCATTACATGTATATATACCACATTTTGTTTATCCGTTTATCTGTTCATGGACATTTAGGTTGCTTCCACATCTTGGCTATGGTGAGTAATACTGCAGTGAACATGGGCAAGGCAGAGAGAAAGGTTTGAGCTCTAGGAGACCCACTCTATCTCTCTAGTGGAACCTGAAGCTTAGAGGCTGCTGATGTTTCTAGAGCACTCTTGATGTGTTCCATAAGACAGTAAGTGATGTGAAGGGAGGGAGCAGATCTTGTTCATACCAGTGTGACAGAGAGGGGAAAAACATTACTATGTTCAACCCCCCGACATATCTGGGACTGGGGGTCTGGGTAGAGCCCTTGGCATCATCAGAAGGGTTTGTGTGTGCAAGAGTAAAGGAGAGCAGAATAGCTCTGCAGGAGATTTGAGAGAGGTGGAGATCGGAAAGGGGCAAGAGGTTGCAAGAGATTGGGAAGGTCACTGGAGCCAGTGACACTGAAGAAACTGGAGAAAGGTAGATGATAAGTGAAGAGGAGCTCAGGATGATAGTGGGAGAGCTTGCATCCACGTGGAGTGTGTGATGTAACTCTCCCGCTTGCTCCCTCACAAAATGCTCAGGAAAATCTACACTGCTCGGTAGTGCTTTGTAGAGTTGGATTTGCCTTTTGGTAAGGTGCAAAAAAGTGAGTGGATGCAAACAGAACATCCCCATAGAATCAGTCACCTTGGGATCACACTTGTATCTGTAGTGACCAATGTTGTGGCCATGGGCCGGTGCGCCATATGTCCTCAATAAATGGCCACTGAATGAGCAAATTCATGCAAGGTCTATAAAAGCTGGCGGCTTGTAAGTGTTTGCGTCCCCTTTTCCCTGCAACTTTCCTCCAAGTCCCCAGGAACGAGATGGTTTTAAGATCAACTGGGGCTTTGGGCAAAGGTTCAGCCGGATTTGTTTGTTCCTCTCTGATCTGCTTTGATTGTCCCTGCTCAGGATCGCAGCCAGCCTGAAACAAACACAAAACTAAATAGGAAAACAGAGAATAAAATAACAGCAGCGTGGTCCTCTAAAGCCCTGTCTAGTGCTGATAGAGCTGACGAGATAAGAGGAACTTGTATTTAAGCAATAAGAGGGCTTTGTTCATGTCAGAGACTTCTCTGACCGTGACTGCTATAGATGCAGAGATAAACCCCAGACTCCAGCACTCCAGAGATGTGCTCCACCACGCTCTGCTGGGGGACAGGCAGCTCAGAACACAAGGGGAAAGAATTCCGAAATGATACATGTCGAATTGCTGGCCTGGATTTCAAATGCCATAGATAGTTTATGCAAAGTCTTGCGCTGTTGTAAAATGTAACACAATCCCCTGGCAGATCTGCCTAAGCTCTGTCCCAGTTGTTTTTGAGAAAAATAAATAAACTTGAAAACGTCTTCCAGCCCATTAAAGTGGTTTTGCTTTACCCATGGTCTCCTGGGTATTGGGCTTCTAGATATTTGAATAACTAAAGCCATCACCTAATTCCTGGCAAATGAGATAGTTGATTCTTGGCACCTTTACTCTCCTCAAGGAGTTACCTGTAACATTCAGGAAATGTATATTGGATTCCCAGGACCCACTGATTCCTCTTAGAAAGGGTAAGGGGAGTTTTGGCAATGAGGAAGTTTCAGTATAGTCCTGCATTGTTTAATGACGGGGTTCTGTTCTGAGAATTGTGTCGCTGGGCGATGCCATCGTTGTGCGAACATCACAGAGTGTACTTACACAAACCTAGATGGTATTATAGTCTACTACATACCTAGGCTATATGGTACTAATCTTATGGGAATACCGTTGTATATGTGGTCCTTCATTGACTGAAACATCAAGTGGTATATGACAGTACTTTTCGGTGTTTTTAAAGCAGGGAAACTTTTTTCTTAAAGGAAATATTGCAAGGCAGCTTGATAGATAAAACAAATGAGTGGAGATGCTCTGGTTGAAACAGTGGAGCAGAAACTAAACAGACTTTCCCCAATCCTGACCCCTAGGCTGACACCTCAAGAAACCCTAGGAATCCATAGGTGATACCTTGAAAACCTATGACCTAATCCAACATTGAAATGTGAAAGATAAACTGGGGTCTAAAGAGGCGAGGTAATTAGTACATAATTACACATCAAATTTTGAGGGAGTTTTGACCAGAACCAGGTCTCTTAAATCCAAGCCAGCTCACCATTGCAGAAGCTCCTGGGTGACAATGTGTGATCCTCCAAAGTTGATTAAACAATTTATCTTCCCCTATTTGAAAGTGCAAGAATGAACTAATGAAGATGTTAATATTAAGAGGAACTGGATGAGGGGAACTCTCTGTATTATCTTTTTCTGTAAATATAAAACTACTCCAAAACAAAAAGTGTATTTTGAAAAAAGCATTGGTGCCTGCAATTGTAGATTACAATGCCAAGTGTTTTAGCTTGACTTTGATTAGTGAATTTGATGTATAACTTTTCTGCTCCATTTTTAATTCTTCCACGCTCATCTTATGAATCCCTGGGCTTTGTGTGATTTTTATAAATGACATCATAATGTACTTATACACTTACACTTTCTCCCTTTTTTCATCAATGTTGTATTCTGTGATCTCTCCATGTTGATGTCTATGAACTCATGCATAGGGTTTATGTTTTGATTGGCCATTCTGAACCGGGTGTTAAATATTTTCAATATCATCCTTGTATATGAAGCTAGTTCTGTCCTATTAATATTTTTTCGCTGTATAGAATTACATCATGTGAGTATATCATATTTATGCATCCCTTCCCCAAGAGATGAACATATAAACTATTCCAATCTTTTCCTTCTATAGATATTGCTTCCATGGATATCCTCTTTCTTTTTTCCTTTCTTTTCTTTCCTTTTTTGTTTGTTTTACATGTGTATGTTTGTTTTGTATGATGGAGATTAGATTATCTCTATTTTTTCACCTTGTAAGATCTTAGAATTCTCTAGGTCAGCCTTAGCCCTACTTTTTAGATGAGCAGACTGAGACCTGCAGGTGTGGTATGACAGGCCCAAATTCACAAGGAAATTTTGAGAGGGGAGCCACATTAGAGATTAGAAGCGAAGCACTAATTTGAGATGACCTTCTGCAAAATGTCTGACCAATCTCAAGAGCAACTCAGCTGTCCCTATCCTTTTCCATCCTGGCACTTTTCTATTTTCTACCCTACAGTTTACGATTATGTATGCATATGTGATTACTTGATGAATATCCGCATACATTGTCACCCTAAGCTGCTTAGCACCTGTCTTGTCCACCATCTTGTCCCAGAGGGCTTGGCAAATAGCAGTTACTTGATAAATACTATTTCAATGCATGAATGAACCAATGAACTAAGGAATTAAATGACATTTGGATACACAGGAAACTCCTAAGTTTGAAGAACTCTATTTGTCTATACTTGCTTTGTGTTTCTTTTAACACCATTTGATAGCTCTATCATTGAGAATGAATGTGTGCATGTGTGTATATATATCAATGCACACACATGCACACACACACAGATTTTCTTTGGAGGAAGCAAATGCTCATATTGTCATAGTCTTTGCTCTGCTCTGTAGTTAATATAGCTCTGACCACAATTTACAGATTTGTTCTAAAATATTCTACTTGGTATCCAACCTCTTGACTTTCTGTTTTGGCCACTTTCCCCAAGCTCTAAAAATGCCAGGCAGCTTATCACAACCTGAGCATTCTGGGTTTCTGCTTTCCTCTGAGCCTTTGCCTCTGTTCCCTATTCCTGCAATACCTGTTATCGCTACCATATTTTTCCAGACCCAAATGTCAACTCCTCCAGGATTTGTCCCCACAAGAATTTCTCTGTCACCTCTACCACCAAAACATGTTATCCGTTCTTTACTGAACAGCATTAAGGTCTCGCTCTTTTGCATTAGAACGTGGGCTCCTGAAGCAGACTCTCGTCTGCTGATCCTGGTTTCCTCCTGGGGCGCCAAGAACAAAATAGATGGATAGTAAAAGTTCAGCAAATTGAATTTCATTTGACCGCTGAGACCCTCTAAAATATTTTATTTTCTTTATTTTTTTCTAGGTGTGTCGAACCAAGGTGATAGATCTCAGTGAAGGCATTTCGCAGCACGCCTGGTACCCCTGCACCATCAGCTACCCATACTCCCAGCTGGCTCAGACCACTTTCTGGCTCTGGGTAAGCCAAAGCTTTGAGAGCCTTAGGATCTCCAGCAGCGGCCCCCAGGAAGCACCGACTCCCATGACCCTTTCTCAAGATGGTTTGTCTACCCACTGAGGGTGTTAATTCTAAGGACGGGGAACAAAACACTTAGTAATAGGATGCTTCCTGAAATGGAACCCCATAATTGCTTGTGGAATGCCCCTAGTCACTCTAGTTTTGGCAAAGAGTTTAGATACCTTTTATCTGTTTGGAACCTCCTATTCATTGTTCAAGGCCTTTTAAATTGTCTTCTCCTCCTTGAAGTCTTTACTGATCTCCACAGAGGGAAGTGACTATTCTCTCCATTCTGGTTCTGCACACATTGGGCCTGTGTTGCTTGGCACTTGTCGCATGGTATTACATAGCTGTCTGTGGGTCCATCCTCCTGACTAAGGATTGTGCACTGTACTGAATTTTGATTTGCATATCACTGATCTACTTTGAACTCCACAGTCCACAGAAATGCAAGGGCCAGGTCTTCTTTAGCTTTGCCTTCTCGATACCTAGTACAGAGGTTGGCATGGAGGAGTGGCGAATAATAATAAGTACCATTTTTTGTGGTTTTAGTATGTGCCAGACACGACTCTCATTATCTTACTGGAGCTTCATAGCCATCCTGTGATGTGGCTGTTTACTTAATCCACCACTTGGAGGTGTGGGAACCTACGTCCAGAGCAGCACAGCACTGCTCAACATCACACAACTCAGAAAGAGCAGAGCCAAGATTGGAACAGAGTTTCCAACCTCAGAGCCTGTGCTCTTGACTGTGAGGTTTCACTGCCCTCCTGTTCCTGTCATGGGCCCATGATGAATCGTCCAATTCCTGAAATGGAAAATTCTCCTAGAAACCCCCAGCCTGTGGCTGCTTCCCCACCATATGACTGAGTACATGAGATACCCTCCCATGTCTTCTGTATTTCAGGCATACTTTTCTCAGCCAATGGTTGCTGCGGCTGTCATTGTTCACCTGGTGACTGATGGGACCTATTATGGGGACCAAAAGCAGGAGACCATCAGTGTCCAGCTGCTTGATACCAAAGATTTGAGCCACGATCTAGGTGAGCATGTTCCCTTGGGCATGGCTTGCTCTTGGTGCCTGCTTCTGTGTCTCCCCATGGGTGGCTGTGAGGATTGGCTGAAAATGAGTTCTTCTCTCTTTCCTCTTTCCCGCTTCTATTTGGCATTCTGGCTGCCTTCAAATGAGGATGTGTTTGTATACCCAGAGAAATCTGGGTCTGGCAGATTTGGGGATAAGAGGTCAATGTCAAAGTCTTCCCTTCAGTCCTTCCCTTCAGCTAGACACCTTTAACCTCAGGCATCACATATGATCCTTGAAAGACCCTGGGAAGGAGACTGAGCAACGGCCATTTCCCGTTGTACGTGTCAGTACCTGAGACCCAGAGAGGGGCATTGAGAGACCTCAGGTCGCATGGCAGTAGCCAGGAAGAGAGTAGAGTGGTCAGGTTTTGGGGATCGTAGCCCACTGTTCTTTATCCTATAGAAAGAGGTGTCCGTGAATGCCCCCAAAGTAGTTATCATGTCTCCAGCACAACCCCCAGACTTTCCCAAGGGAGTAGGAATAAGAAAAGGTTGGATTCAGGAGTAGGAAAGCAAGTGAGGAATCAGGTCCTAGCTCTTGAGAAGCTGCCCCAACACAGGGCCCAGGGGTGGTCAAGGGCCAGAGTTGTCCCTTCTCCCACTCCTCTGCGTACCCATATGTGCATGGCAAAGAGGAAAGAGCCCTGACTCCAGAGCTGAAAGCCAAGGTTTGAATCTTGTCCCGGCTGCTCTCTCATCTTGAGGACCTGAGTGATTTTCTTGACCTCACACTGTTTCCCTCAGCATCTTGCTTTCCTCTTCTGCACAGTGGGGATGGTGATGCCACACAGTCAGAGTGAGATATTAAATGAGATATTACTGAGACTTAACACTGTGTCTAGCACAAGACTTGGCACTAAGAAAGTCCTATTATCCCTTTGACATTTCCAATATACCTCTGGGCAGCCATTCCGGGTGTTTGGAATTCCAGGCCGACACTGACGTCCAGGCTTCAAAGCTGTGCCTGCACCATTCCTCAGGGAGCTCATTTCAAAGACCATAGGAAGCAAGCAGGCAAGGTCACTTCAGGGTCAAGCAGAAGCCAAGGGCGCAAGGAGGGTTTTTTGTTTTGTTTTTATGTTTACTTATTTAGTTAGTTTTAAAGGCAAGGGGGAACATGTTAATAAGGAAGAGAAAGAAAACCCCTCTGGACTTATCTGGATTCCTGGGAAATTTCCCTAAGTGAGAAGCAAATATTTTCATAGCTGTCCTGGCATTGCAAAGGGCTCCGAGGAGAGGTTATTTCAGCGGAGTGGGGAAAAGTCTGGTTCCAGGGAAGCAAGCTCCTTAGATCCCACTGCTTGAGGCCTGGAGCTTCCACACGTGCCTGTCTCTCCCCACTGGGTCCCCTGTCCTTTGTCCTTAGCATCCGGGCATTCCAGCAGAGGCTTTGCAGCTCTGAGAGAAGGGACCACAGAAGAGGGAGCTTCATGTCCCCACATAGCAGGCCTGCCAGGACGTAGGTAGGATTATCCCACTTTTTAGATGTAGAAACTGAGTTTTAGAGGCTTGCTGGAGTCAGATAATTAGGAAGTGGCTAAACCAAGACTTGAACTGATGAGATCCATGGAACACCAAAGCCAGCTTCCATTTCATGAATTCCATCCCACGCCATCACTCCCTTCCCTCTACTTCCGGATGTGCCTTTTCTCTCTGCCCCTCTCTCTTCCTTCTCAAAGCCTGGGGACCTGTTCCCTCTACTAGAAAGAACTCAGGGCTTTTGAGTGAGGCAATCTTGCATTCTACTTGGACTGTATATTGCTGGTTGCTCTGTGTCCCTATGGGAAGCCACATCCTACCCAGGATTCTCACTCTCATCTCTACAGAATGGGCATAGAGGTTCTTAGCTCACAGGGCTGCTCCCAGGTTCCCAGATTACCAAGGAGAGTGGGCTTTTTACCCTGGAATGGCCTGTTGCTGTGAATTATTTCCATCGTCTGACTGGGAAGGCATCCTGAAAACTAGCAACTCAAATCATCAAATCCTAACGCAATGTGGGAGGGAGGTGAGGGCCAGTGATGCTTGGCAGGCCAAGGGGTGGCCCTTTGGGGGAGGGAAAGGGGCTGTGGGCGCTAGGTGAAGGGAAAGCTTAGGGGGTAGGGAGGCAAGAGGATTGGAAAGATTTCGAACTAAGAGAAAAAGGCAGACAAAGAAACTTTCAATCAAACTCAAAATCCCCACTGGCCACCCAATGGTGCTTTTGTGCAGTGACATGAAAGGGTCTGGGGGCTTCGGGAAGGGCCCATTGGGGAGGGCGTGACTGGCCTTGAGTAATGAGCCTGGCCCCTCGGCCCTCTGTCTCCCCTGACAGGCCTCCATGTCCTGAGCTGCAGGAACAATCCCCTGATTATCCCTGTGGTCCATGACCTCAGCCAGCCCTTCTACCACAGCCAGGCAGTACGTGTGAGCTTCAGTTCACCCCTGGTCGCCATCTCGGGGGTGGCCCTCCGCTCCTTCGACAACTTTGACCCCGTCACCCTGAGCAGCTGCCAGAGAGGGGAGACCTACAGCTCTGCCGAGCAGAGGTAAGGCACCCTGGGTCTGCTTGCCCTGGGCTGTTTTGTAGCCAAGTGGAGATGGAGGAATTCTGAAACTGGGTAGCCATGTGTGTTGCTGTAAAAAGTCTGTGTGCTTCTCCCTTCTGCATCCTCAGGCCTCTGATAGGCTCTGCCTTTGGGCTTCAGAGGCCCACACATCTCTAAATTCCAGGGGTGATGGAGGGAGGCAGGAATGTGTGGCAGAAATAGGACCTCCTTCCGCTGGCTTGCAGTCCCAAAGCTGAGAGTGGCTCGCAGGGGGGTCCTGGGAACATCACTTTCCCTCTCTGGGCCTTAGCATCCTCATTTGGATAAAGAAAAGACAGGTGGATTAGCTCTCTTTCAGCTCTGAAATACTGGAACATTCTGCTTCCTAAGTAGCACCAGCAGGAAATATAGCCCTCCTAAATTTAGGGGGATGGTGGGGGACTGGTATTTGCTTCATCCCAGACCACCGTGTATTTCAGTAATGGGTAAATCTCTATGTCTTCCTCTAGCTCCTGAGATCCCCCCAGTGGTCCAGGAGTCTGTCTGTTAACTGCATAACATCACTCCATCTGTGCTTTTGATCTGGCAACTGTTAATGCACCTAGTTTGGAGCTAAGAGAGGATAGTGTTTCCTGGGAAGAATATGAGCTTTGATGGGACTTTTACTTGGGTTTGAATCCACCCCTTCCTGACTGTGTGTCCATGAACAAGTCACTTCATTTTTCTGAGTCTCAGTTTTCTATTTTGGAATAAGCAGATGATGATATCGACCCCATAGGGTGGTTGTGAGGGTAAAATGGTGTGCTGTAAATGAAAGTGCTCTTGCAGATTATTAGACACTGTCCAAAGATAGTGTATTAGTAAAGAATATTTATTGCTGCTTTCTGACATGATGGTGGTCCTTCTCTGCACAGAATTCTGCATGAAGTTCTTAGAGTTAGAGCTGGAAGGTGCCTCAGAAATCATCTAGTATGCCCAGAGCGTCCAAACTTTGGTGTCACTCTCTAGAATTCCAGGGCCCCAAAAGGAGAAGGACTGGTCCAGGGTCACACAGCAGCTCTCCAGTTTGTTTAGTGAGATCCAGAAGGAGAAAGAAAGAGTTAGGGTCTTGGTGGGCATCCCCAGAGTGAGGCCCCCGAAAGGCCATTCAGCTCTGGCCTGTCTACCTGGGAGCAAGGAGAGGCAAGATGAGTGGGGAGGGGGCACACCAGCCTTTCCCATGCCCCTGCTACCACAGAGGACACAAAAGATGGTTGCAAAACCCACATTGTTTTGCACCCACTGTCTCTAGCTTCTGTTGTGCAAAGTCTGTCGCAATCATTCAGAGGCAAAAGAGCTCCTTAAATATCACTCATTGTTGTATTTCACCCTAAGAGGGCTTTTTCGTCCCTGGCTCTCCAGACTATAAAAATAAGTTAATTCTCAGAACCCAGGGAAACAATGTTGATGGAAAATGCAAATCCATCAGACCTCTTCTGCAGTGCTTTCCCATCCTTCACCAGCTGCCTGGACCATCCACAAGTTGACTGAGGCCAGCGCTGACTTTTTTGAATCCTTAATTAACAGTTCCTGTGCCAGAAGTAAACAATAAGAAGTGTTTAACCTTGGAAACAAATCAATCAATAAGTATTTGTGGAGTTCTTTGACTTGTTATGGAAGAACATTGATCACAGGCAAAGTGTTGCCCTGACTTCCACTGGTTGCATGACTGTGAGCTCTCCTCCTCTGTGGGCCTCAGTTTCCCCATCTATAAAATGATGATGATGGATTGGATGTTTTCTGTGGTTCCTTCCTGTTCTAACAGTCTGAGATTCTCAAGAGCTAGGAGTGGTGAGAGGGAAGAAGAAGGGACCAACATTTATTTTATTACCTTATTTCTTTGTCTTATTTCATTATCACACCTGTCCTGTGAGGTATGGACAGAGGGAGTAAGTCAAAGTCTTCTAGGCAATAAGAGGCAAAACCCTGCTTTGTCTGCCCCTAAAACCCATGCTCTGCTCACCAGAGCCAGGCACATCTAGGAGACAAGGGGACTTTTCATGGCTGCTCACATGTGAGCATTTAGTCAGTGAAACTGAGTAAAGTGATGGAGATGCAGCCCTGAGGGCCTCGGCTGGCTTGATCCTGAGCTTAGACCTGGCTGGGACAGGCTGAGCCCCCAGGGCTGCAGGACCTGCTCCTCAGTGGTCCAGGGGAGGAAAAGATGGCAGCTACTCCTGGGGAGCTAAAGAGGCATTTGCCCAAATAGGCAGGACTGTGCAAACGTGTAAATGCATTAAAACAAACAAAGCAGGAGGAAAGAAAAGAAAAATAAGCAACAACCATAAAAAGCCACGGGATGTTTTTCTTCATTAGCAAAACACCAAGGTAAATATCGTCACTTTTTATAGCACAGAGTCAGCTGGCTGTAGTAGGAACATCCCTACATCCCTGTAGTAGGAACTTTACTCTCAGCTGTTTCCCAGGTAGTGAAAGGGGCTCTCTCCACGCCCCCACCATGCCTTCCTCTCCTCCCTCCCCCTCCTCTCCCTCTCCTCCATCTCCTACCCCTCCCTCCTCTCTCATCCCTTTCCTTTCTCCTCCTTTTCTTTCTCTTCTCCTGAGAGCAGTGTGATCTCTAGTGGGCTGCCATGAGAGAAGCACCACTACAGAAAAATCAATTCAGGCCATGTGTTCTGACCTAGATTCAAGGGTCTCCAGTCCTGGTGCAGTACTTGGAATAAATTCAGAGTCCCAAGAAAACAGGATCAGGTTTCCAATGAGAGAGGTCCAGTTGTGGAATTCTAGCCAAATCCGAGTTCCACACCAAGTTAGAGGAAAGGGGAAAGATAAGGGGGAGGGTGTAGTGATGGTGGTCGGGGAAGTTAAGAGGCTTCTTCAATGAGAAAAGCAACAATCATGAATTGAGGCTCCAGTGTGTGTAACACACACACACACACACACACACACACACACACACACACACACCACCTCTATCTATCCTATGGTTCTAAAGAGAGATTGAGAAGTTTGTTATAAAATTCAGTGGGCCATGTGTTTAGACAATTAATTTCTTTCCTTCCATCCTTCCTTCTATCCTTCCTCAATTCTTTCCTTGCTTCCATCCTCCTTCCATTCTTTCTTTCCTTCCTCCCACTCCTTTTATTTTTTGCACTTTTTCTTCCTCTACCTCAAACTTTTCCCACTTTTCCAGCCCATCCAGAGAAAGGCAGTTGTGATAGGGGGCTAGCTTTTAGAAGGTCAGCTTTAGGAGGAAATACATTCTTCATGTGACTAGATTAACTCCTTTCAGCTGGGGTGGACTTAAACTTTGGGTGGGGATGGGGGTGCCTATAGGCTGGAGCCAAGAGTTCGGAGAGTCTGAGCATGGATAGGAGCCCACACGTGGAATATCCCATTAGGTGAATAGAAAGGAATTCATATATAAGATTGTAGCCCATAATGAAGCTTCTCATGGCCAGAAACCAGAGGCTTGAGATTGCTGCCCACAGACTCACCCAACATCTCCAGCCCACAAAAAGATTAGCACTTTTTAGAACATCTGTTGGGAGTCACTGGTCTGGGGGATATACCTGCAAATGGGACAGCTGTGCTTAAGTATATATGTATTTTCAACTGTACTGGATACTGCCTGACTTTTCTCCACACCCCCATCAGTGTTCTATCAGAGTTCCTCTTGTTCCATATCCTCGTCAATATTTGGGATTCTCAAAGTCTATTTTTTTCCCAATCCAAAGGGCTCTGAAATTATATGCCTCTGTATTTTTGTCCCCATAAAACCGTGATCTCTGAGAGCTGGAAGGGCTCCAAGAGATTCTCTGGTTCTTCATCCTCATTTGAGGATGGGAAACCTGAGGTCCAGGCAAGGAAAGTGGGTCTCCAAAAGTCACCTAGTCCATTAGGTGCAGAACCAGCATTCAAATCCAGTTCTCAGGACTTCCAGGGCAGAGTTCTTTCCTCTTCATCAGAAGTTTCAAGACTGCTGTCACACAGGCCAGACTAGGCCACAAACAGCTTGTGTTTGTTTGGCCCTCATTAGTTATTTTCTTTAACTAGTTGCCAACATTTAAGTATCAAGAGAGTTGATATTAAAAACCAGAACTCTTCCTCCTCTTAAAGACATCAGAAGACTTGGAAACACCAGGCCCTCAGTCCCACTAGACAACCTCAGACTAGAGTGAGAACTTCTCCCACTGGGCATGCGCCTCTCAGCTCACTTTGCCATTCAGATCATCTGCCTGGACCCTGTAGGCTGCTGACCTTGCATCACCACTCTACAAAATCTCACCTCAGTCCTACCACATCACTGGCCTCTAGAATCCCAGGGTGGAAGAGCCTTTTAGGATCCCTTCCCCCAGTCGCCTCATTTCCGGGCAGAAAAATGAGTCCTATCTTGATAACTCTTCCTCATTCTCTCTTCCCAAGTGATCCCTGCAGTGTTTGTGCAAAGAGCATTTTCCCTTCCTTCTCCAGTGTTGAGCATGCTCTTCTTTTGCTGTCCCCATCTGAGCAGCCCAGAATGATTTCTAAACAATCTGCCTGTTACTATCTCTACTTCCCTATGGCATAATTGCAGCTAAGTAGCAGGCCACTGGAGTCAAGCCATGAGCCAAGGGACAGAACCAGGAGTAGAGCCCTCATCAGCCCTTAAGCTGCTAGCCCTGTGTGTCCTGGGTGGAGTCCTATCTCGGTATCCTCTGCTATACATGATTGGGGGCCATTTCATTTGACAGTGGAGGTAGCAGTTGGGGGGCTGGCTGTTGGATCACTTAAGGATCTACCTCTCTATGGAACTTGAATCTGTAAGTAAATTAACATATATATATAAGAAGAAAAGAAAATCCCTAAGTATCTGATTAGCTCTGCATCTGGGGGCATCTCTACCTTTGCCCACCTCTTCTTTTTTTCTTTTTGGTGAGGAAGACTGGCCCTGAGCTAGCATCTGTTGCTAATTTTCCTCTTTTCGCTTGAAGGAGATGGTCCCTGAGCTAACATTTGTGCCAGTCTTCCTCTATTTTGTATGTGGGACACCGCCACAGCATGGCTGATGAGTGGTGTGTAGGTCCATGCCTGGGATCCAAACCTACAAACGCCGGACCACTGAAGTGAAGTGCATGAACTTAACCATTATGCCTCTGGGTGGGCCCTTGCCCATCTTTTTTCATAGATCAAATCACCTGTGTCCCTTCTCCCATCCCTCCAGTCTGCCACTTTCCTCCTTCTGAGAAATGTCTTAATTTTTTCCTTCTTTTGTTATTTCTTATTGACCGTCCATCACTGGTAATAAATACTTCCCTCATTTTCTTTTTTAAGAAGCCAGAGGCTTTTCTTTTGTTTTGTTTTCCTTGTTTTGATTTTTGTGTCTCAGAAATGACAAGGTTGTGTCAGGGAGTTATTTGGGAGCACCAGTTGGAGTAATATTTATCAGTTCTGGACAATGTGTTCACACAGGCCTTTCCAACTAACAGGAAGGCAAAGAGAAGAGCAGGGACTTAGGGGACCGACAGAGCTGCATTGGAATTCTGTTCATGCTGAGTGCCTTTGGGCGAGTGACTGAAACTCCCTTAGCTTCAGTCTCCTCTTCTTGAAAATAGGAGTCATAATAGTACCTCAAGGAGTTACCACTATAATGCAAATAAAATGATGGAGGTAAAACGCAGTGGCCAGTGCTTGGCACATATTACCTCCTTTCCTCCTTTCTTCCTGTTTTCAAGCCTGTAAGCCAGGTGCAGACAGATGTGCTCATAAAGCAGACATGCCTCACTCCCCAAAGTCTGTTCTGGAGGACACTAGTCTTAAGAAATGTCCAAAGAAAAAAGGTTGTCAGAGTTTGGAAAATGATACGCACCTTGGCCCCTTCTGGAAATCCATAGTGTGCTTTAGAATGCTCAAGGTTCTGAGAAGTCCTGCAATAAAGAGAGCTGATTGGTCTCTCCAATCAACACTACCCTATTCACTTGACCATGGAACTTTTAGGTCAGGTAACCCGTGTGCCCAGGGAATATTTTCCTTCCACAGTAGAAAGAGCGAGAGTAGAGAGACTACCTTCTCATGGAGTTTCATCGTTTCCAAAGCATTTCTCATGTGTTGGCTTTTCTGTTCTGCAAACACGCTGGTCCCCATCCTGTCCTGGACCTTTGCACCTGTTCCTTCCTCTGCCTGAGTTTCCCTCTTCCCCAAACCTTTGCATGGCTGATCCCTTCATTTCATCCAGGTCTTAGTTCAGATGTATATCCCTTCCTCATGGAGGCTCCACTGGATCCCTCACTACATGTGTCCTGCTCTGTCACCCTCTATAATTTCACCTTGTTTTAGTGCCCTTACTGTGCATATCACTCTCTGAAATGGGCTCATTTATTACTTTTCTTTGGCATATGTCCTCCCTCCTCAAATATACAGGTGACAGGAATCTCTGTGTTGCTGATGTTTAGAACAGTGTCTGCTACTCGGCAAGGCCCCCAGGCAAAGTCTGTTGAATAGACGAATGACTGGCTGACATGTCACCCTGTTGACAATCTTGAGAGACAAATCATTTCCTTACTTCCACTTTACAGATGGAGAAACTGAGGTTCAGAGTTTTATATAACTCTCCAAGGTCAAACAACTGATAAATGGCAGAGCTGGGGCTGGAGCCCAAGCTTGCCCCACTGCCAAACCCTGTGCTCTTTCTATTCTAGGAAATCAAGTTTTTCAGTGTATCCTTTCCCTATAAAGAAGAACATTAATGTGCAAAGAATGGGGGTTTGGGGAGAATGCTGTGTGTACCTCAATGGCCCCACACCCCAGAGAAGCCCAGAGTCCTTGTCTTTTGAAGGGGCTCCCAGAGCTCCCTGGGTCGCCATCAGATGGGAGCCCAGGGGCCTCCTGGGAGTGCAGAGTGAGCATGGCCAAATTCAAGGCATAGGTCAAAAGACCAGCCTGGAAGCTGGTAGCTTACAGAGTAAATCTATTTAAATTGGAACCATGTGGCTCTTTCCCCCAGTGCTTGCACAATGCGAACAGATGCATTGTTTGGTGTCAAAGCCCTTAAGTTGACTCTACAGCTGCAGTCTTTTCGAGGTCTCCACATGGCGCAGAGCCGAGGCTGTCAGGAGCAAGGAGGAGGGCAGAGAATGGGAGTATCTCAGCAAGTGTCACCTATTCCTGCCTGCCCTGCATTTCGGAAGGGGGAGTATGTGAAGAGTGCAGAGCCCACATCAGTGCAGGTCTGAGACCTCAATCAAAAACTTGCCCTTTTCCAAGGATTTTTAAAAGTGAATTTGTTGGTGATGTGTTTTGGAGGCTTTTAGCTCCTCAGCTCCCCCTCCCCACTTTAATTCTCACCATCCTTTTGCGCAGGGGAGAGAGCGTGAGGATGAGTAACCATGTTCCTATAAAACCCTCAGCGGGGTATCCTGAGACTGGCACCAAGAAAAAAAAATTGGAAATTTCTTCATCAGCTGGTTGGGCCACCAATTGCTCCCTCTCTCCTAAATAAAAACAGGAAAATGAAAGTTTTGCGGCTGTGGATGCAAATCTAGCTGTTTGTGCACACTGTATGCCAGGTGTTGGGGTAGACAGAGTCAGAGATGCAAAAGGTAGAGAAAATTACCCCCTGGAAGCTTTCAGTGTTTGGAATCAACACCTCAACCTCTGTAGAGTGCTTCAGAGCTGTTGCGAGACACTATGCCATTTGTTTCCTGCTGTCTACTAGATGCAAGGCATTTTTATTGCAATGAGAAGTATACCAAGATGAAACAGGCATTATCTCTACCCTCAGGGAAGTTCTAGTCCAGGTGTGGGGCAAGGTTAACAACAAGGACTTTGGAGTCACACATCTGGGTGGGAACTTCAACAAGTAACTTGATCTCCCTGGTCCCGATTTTTCCAACTGTAAAATGAGTAACACTTAGCTCATAGGGTTGTTCTGAGGATGGAGTGAGCTCATGTATAAAAGCAATCAGTGAATAGTCACTAATGTTACTGAGTGTCTGTGTAACGATATTATAAGGGGAAAGATCATCTAAGCACGGGGGTTTTATGTTGTTTCCATTTCCTTAAGGATTAGCACATATTCCGGCACATGGTGGACACCCAGGACCTGTGCTTTCAATGCATGAAGCATGAGGCAATGGTGTTACAGAAAGGAGGGCAGAAAGCCTGCAAGGGAGCTCACCTGGGGACCCCGTAAAGCTTCCTGTAGACATTTACATGCAGCTCAGACTGGAAGAATGGGTAGAATTCACATTGGCAGGGAGATTGGAACGGCAGCTGCAGCAAGATGCAAGGCAGGATCTCTGTACAACTTTACTAACAATTCATAAATCACTTTACAGTTTATAAAAGACTTCTACATTCAACACCTCAGTTGAGTCTCATGACCCGATGAGTTGGCCAAATTTGAGAGTACACTGAAGCTCAGAGAGGTGATGTTCCTTGCTCAGGGTTACACAGCTTCTAGGTAATAGAGCATAAATTTATTTATACCATTAGCTACCATTTATTGTGTGCTTTTGTGTGCCAGGAATTCTGCTCTCTGCTTTTCCTTAGCTATCTGGTTTAATTCTCATGACGACCCTTGGAAGTGAATACTTTTATAAAATATGAAGAGGCTTTCATTCAACTCAGTACCTGGCAGATAAGAAACTCAGTGAATACTTGCTGTAATCATAATGATCCCTATTTCACAAATGGAAAAGCTGAGGTTCTGCAAGCTTTGGAGATTAATAACATATATAACTTTCAAGTGGCAGGATTTGAACCCTGGTTTGTTTGTTTCCATAAATTGTGCTCTTAATCATAAAGTTTGATCACTGCCTCCAGAATCGTCTTCACCAAAGCCAGTACCTCTTCCTCTCCTCAGTCTTGGCCTCCTGGAAATTTGGAGAGAAAAAGCCATTAGCCTTTATCTTCCAGCTGGAGTACAGTGGTCCTACAAGAAAACTCCCTCTCACCCACTCTTCCTTTCCTTTTCAGCTGTGTGCATTTTGCATGTGAGGCCACTGACTGCCCAGAGCTGGCTGTGGAGAATGCTTCTCTCAACTGCTCCAGCAGTGACCGCTACCATGGTGCCCAGTGTACTGTGAGCTGCCGGACAGGCTACGTGCTCCAGATACAGCGGGATGATGAGCTGATCAAGAGCCAGGTGTGCACAGGTGCTGGGCTCAGAGCCCTTCTCCAGCCCAGGAAAGGCTGACAGGGTGTTAAGTATGTTCTCTGCTAAATCTCCAGCCCTTAATACAGTGCTGCCACATAGTAGATGCTCAGTAAATATGTGCTGATTGAATGAATCAGTCCATCATTTCTAAGACAATGGTTCACTGGCAGAGTAGTATTCCGTACAACAGGTATCAGAGTCTTTGTGTAGGTTGCAAATCTGGAAAACCATGGGCTGATCATTTTGGAATGAAACCCTCACAGTCAGAACTCTGCTACAATTGAATGGGCTGCTTTAGGAAGAGGCGAGCCCTCTGTCAATGAGGTGTTCATTCATTCATTCACTGTAAAACATCCCTTCATTGGGAAACAGATGCTGTACTAGGTGCTAGAGAAAAACAGTCACTAAGATAAACCTAGTTCTTCCTCTCAAGGAGCATAGGTCCTCGTGATGGAGAGCAGACAGTGAATGAGCAATGACCTCACCATGTGATAAACACCCTAAAGGGAAGTGTAGGCTGTTGTGGAAGCACAGGGGGATTCCAGGAAAACACCCTGGAGGAAGTGAGTTGAAAACTGAGAACTATACAGATGGGCAAAGGGATGTGTGTTGGGGAGAAGGGGAAAATATGTTGAGCTACACTAAAATGGGCAGCCAGAAGGATCTTTATCAACCACAATCTGACCATGTCAGCTCCCTGTTCCCCTAAAGATAAACTTCAAACTTCCTGACCAAGATAAAAGGGCCTTGCACCAGTGGACCTTGCTTGCCTCTCCAGCTTCATTACCTGGGAGAGTTCAGAAAAAGAAAATTCTCTGTCTGTAGCATGCTTTTTCTCACCAAGGGGCTTCCCTTCCTGCCCCTATGTCCTGCGTGAGAGTAGTGGCAGTGAGCGGATTTGAGATGTGGCAGAATGTTCCTTCAGCCAGATGTTGCTGTGGGGTCTCAGGCAGGCATGAGGGAGGGGGGCAAAGTGGCAGTGAAACCCTGAGATTTGAGGATTCCAGAGCCGTCATTAGATGCAGCCTTTTCCAGGGTCCCACCAGCTGACTTCACCATCATGCTGCAAGCACACAGGGCACATTCTTTGTTGCTGGGAACGCCTGTTTGTACAGAGCTTCTGGACTTGAACAGAGTCCCACTGGGGAGCGCTTGGGCCCTCGATTGCTTGTCTTCGACACCTACTTCTGTGTGTCAGACACAGCAGGTTTGAACTCCTGTGGAAATAACTAGGCTGTTTCGGCAGTGAGAACCTCTACTCCCTTTGATCTATGCTTAAGATGGGGGAAATGTCCTTTGCTTTTAAAATCCCAGATCAACATTTGGCATCCCCTAGGATTTGGCAACTTCTTGCTTGAATGGAAGCCTCTGAGCTGCCCATGACTGTGCCTCCCTTGGCTCTGTAGCATGGCCTAGCCCTTCCACTTGCACAGCTCTGCCATCTTCTAGTTAGGTTCAAATCTCTGCCGACACTTTCACTTTCACTTTTCCCAGCCTTGTCCTTCTTCATGTCTACCTCTCTCAACTATTGAACCATCAAATCTCATAGTAGGGAATGGCTCTTAGAGCAATCCTTGGGCTCAGTGCCAATGGGCAACTCAAATAGGGAAAGGGACTTGCGCATGGTCTCATAGGACAGAGGACAAACATCCAGGTCTCTGATACCTCAGGGCGATGTCCACTCTGTGCCACACTCTAAGACAGGCTCCCTATAACCCCCTCCAGAGCCAAGAAAAGAGACAAAGATCAACAGCCAGGGTCCCACTGTTATGCCACGTTTCAGAGGCTATTTCGTGAAAGAAATCATCAGTCCCTGAGAGGTCTGAGTCTCAAGATTCTCATCAATACAATAGAAATAATGATCTGGGAGACTCCACGGATGGTAGTTAAGAGCATAGCCTTTGAGTTCAATTCCCACTTATCCTCTCTTCAGCTGTGTAACTTTGAGCTGACCACAATGTCTCTGTGCCACAATTTCTGCATCTGTAAAATGGAAACTAAAATACCTAATTCAAACAGTCGTTGGGATCACTAAAAGTGAGCTAAAGGTAAACACTAAGCATTGGTCTCCTAGTGCCCGGACAAGACTCTGAGCTGTGGCCTGGTGGCAATGGGTGTTTCCCTACATTGAGATTAGGTCTGCCTCCTCACTGTGCCTGCCTCTGTCTTTCAGACGGGACCCAGCGTCACAGTGACCTGTGCCGAGGGCAAGTGGAATAAGCAGGTGGCATGTGAGCCAGTTGACTGTGGCATCCCGGACCAGCATCATGTCTATGCCGCCTCCTTCTCCTGTCTTGAGGGTACCACCTTTGGCAGCAAATGCTCCTTCCAGTGCCGTCACCCAGCACAGTTGAAAGGTATCGAGGGCCCTTTGGCTTGGCTTGCCCTGCTTCTTCTGTGGGAAGCCAGAGGCTGCTTTCAGGCCCTCCTTCTGGGTCTCAAACACCAAAGGTTGGATAGAGGTTTTATCTATTCTCTTGATTTCTTTCCACCAATTGTATTTACGTAAACTATCCTGTTATGCAGCTAAGGAGAAAGTAGAGTATGTGTACGTATAACAATGAAATCTCCTCCAAAATCTTACAAATCTTGAAAAAGAAAAGAGAGAAGAAGGAAGGGAGAGAGGGAGGAAGGAAGAAACAGAAGATTATAAGAAAGTAACATTTGGAACTGATGTGACTAGTTCACTGGATAGGATTATGGCCCAGAAAGCCTGAGAGGTAAGTAATATTATTATTCCCATTTTCAAAGAGGAGGAAATCAAGCCTCAAAGAGTATAAAGAACTTATCCAAGGCCACACTATTAGTGGTGATATCCACATTGGGGCCCAGGTCTGTCTTTCTCCAAAGCCAACTGCTACACCTTAGTAAGGGCTAACTGATAGAGGAGCGGGTGTGGACAGGAAGCATTTACTGGGATCTCCTGTGTATTAAGGTGAGAAAGACATAGTCTGGCAAACTGGAGAAGAGGCCAAATTTTGGAAATGAGTGAGAGGCTGGCTTGGGTGTCCTAGAATATCAGGACTAGAATGGCTCTTAGAGCTCATCAGGAATAACTGATTATTGGAAATATGGGGAAACTGACATCCAGTGAGAGGAAGGAAAGACCTTGTACAAAACCACTGAGCAAGTTAGCACCATTATCAGGATGAATTGGATGTCAAGTATTGGATTTTGATGTTATACCCAGTTCCTGGAGGTGCCAAGAACCACTCCTGGGTTTGGTTTATCAGAGGAAATGTTGCCCCCTTATCAGATTTCAAGAATGCTATCTCCCTCAAGACTCTGAGCTGTGGCTCTGTTCTCAAGCATGGGTCGTACCTTGGGGTCCGTCATTCTATCGGATGGGAATGAGTGCACTTCTGTGAGGTGTGAGTGGTTTGGAGGGAGGTCTGTAAATTCCCTGAAACTTAGATGCAATATTATATATTCATCAGTTTCAGGCATTTTGATGAATGGAGAGAGTCAATAGTTTCCCCAAATTTTCAAGGGAATACAGAGCTTCAAAAGATACTGGACTTGAGTCCCTGGAGGGCAGTGGCTGTGTCTAATCCCTTTTCACATTGCTGTCAGCAGGCCCAGGACCTGCACATAGTAAGACTCCATAAAGTGTATTGACTGGATGGCTGCATAAATTGATGAAAGTCACACCTGAGAAAATGTTTCTTTTAAGAAATGAATGGAAGACCCACAGTCTCACTAAACTGCCCCAAAAGAAAAGCAGGAAGCATTCCTGGATGCATCCCTTAGTTCTCCTCATTTTTAACCCAGGAAAATTTTAATTAAAAAACTGTAGACATTTCTTTTGAGCTAATGTAAGGATATAGGTTGGAGAGAGGTGAAGAGACCAGTGGAAATTGTAACCACCACCCTCCCCAACTGTCAGGCTATCTGGACCCTTCACTTGGCCCTATTTGCCCAGATGTGGGGTATGTTAACAACTCCAGACTAGGAAATCACGCTTCTGTTCTCAATCAGAGGCTCTTGAGAAAAGGAGGTGTATAAATTAGCATTGATTATTACAGCCCTCATTGTGGCTAATAATAATTCTTAATCAAAGTGATTCAGACTTGTCTGCCATTGCTTCTCTGCTGACTATGGGAGAAGGGGGAGACCCCATTGTGGAGATGAGATCCCAGGAGGATCACCGTTTTGATAGTTGTTGATCCCAACTTTGCTCTTCCCTTGAGAATATGGCGAAGCATCTCTCCAATGTCTACATTGACCCACTAGGACCCACTGGCATTTCATGCACCGTGGTTCTCAACATCACGTGGTGCTCAAATTCCAGGTCTGATGCTTCTGCTTGTATCTGGTGGCAGCAAGGACGGGGAGGAGGTCCTGCTACCTCTCTTGAGTTTGTTAATGTCTCCTATCTGAAGTCAGGGGGTAAAGTGAGCAAAACAATTTTTCCCCCATTTTTTGTTTGTTTCCCTTTCCTACCTTCTTCCCTTCATTTTTCCTTTCCCTGTAGCATGATTTAAGAAAAAAGAGCACTAGCTTTAGAAACAGACAGACTGGAGTTCCACTTCTGGCTCTGTCCCAACTGTTTGATGTTAGGAGAGCAATTTCACGTCTCTGAGCCTCAATACGCTCATTTGTAAAGTAGGTGCAGGAGTGCCCACATTGAAGGGTCAGGTTGAGGATTTAAAGAGGTGGCATGTATAAAATGCCAGAGCCAAAGAAAATGCCTAGTAAATACTCATCTTCTCCAAGGGGCACTCTTGTGAGGACTTATGCAGTGGCTGTCCTCCTAGCCCTGACCTCTTTGTCCCATGGAGGCCTTAATTCTGGGAGCTGTGGAGACCTGCTCCACCTCCATGCTCCTCCTGGGACCCAGGGGTTAGCGTCCTTGGATGAGCAGCCACCATCCAGGACAAGTAGTCAAGTGTAGCCTCTGGAAGCCTGGGGTAATGCAGGTAGCACCACAAGCCCACTTGTCCCTTGTATTCCAAGTGAATTTTTCTTGAATATCCTGACTTTCACTTAAATTCCAAGCCCTCTTCACGATGTGTGCAAAATATCCTGCAAACTCACAGCCTTAGAGTCACTTCTGCCAAGGTCCTTTATCAAATGAGCACTACAAGCACAGACAGAACCTACAAAAATGCATGAGGGGAAAAAACACTCTCAAGTTCAAAAAAACCCCTGTAAAATCGAAAACATAAATATTTAATTAAATGGCTAAAAATGCAACATTACTTACATCACCTAGTCAACCTCAACTCAACTCAACCATGTTAGGTGCCCTTGATATTGACTATGGAGTGGAGTTTCTCAAGTAAGCATGCCTTCATCCTATAAAGATGTTTTTAAAAGGCCCACTTTTTACTTCTGGCTCTTGTTGCCTTTTCTATCTCAGTCTTTCCTGTCTATCCTGAGCTTCAAAGCTCAGTCTATTCACTAGTTTCCAGAAGACACCCAATACCATTACACACTTTCTGATTTCTTAGACTTTACAGAAGATAGGGACATGAGCTGGGTAGACACGGAGAGTGGCCACATCCTACAGTGCCCAACAATTAAGCGTCTTACCTGCTCTTAGCTTTTTGCCTCACCGCTTACCTTCTCCTTGCAGGTCCTATAATGATCTCCCTCCATCTAGGACTTCCACATTCTCTCTCCTCTCTCAGGAAGAGACCCTTCCATCTCTCTCAAAGCAGATAGCCAGGCTCTGGATGGTTCAGCTTTACCCCAAGGGTCTTGTCAAGGCATCTTCCCCACAAAAGCAGTCAGCTCCCTAAGAGGAATTCTCATACAACTCCTAGGAAAATGCGCTTTCTTCATCTTTTCACCCTAGTGTTTTGGAGATACCACGGTCTAGGATATCATTGGGTCCGAACCACTACTGGGTGCTGATGATAAACCACTACTCAAATTACTTCTGGGGGCTTGAAGGTCACAGTGGAGGAGAGACTTGTCCAAGATCACACAGCTGCTTATGAGGCCACTTTTTGATGTGAACAATGCTAAGAGCATAGAATAAACACCAATTTCATCTGTTAAATAATTCTTCCAGTCTCCTTCAGCCCCTCATCCACTCTGAATGGTTGCTCAAGCTTTAAGAGTCAAGCCTATTCTTACTTCACGGTTCTTACCTGCTGCCTCAGAAGCCCTTTGGCTTTTTCTAAAGCCTGTCCCTCTATCCAGAACTCCCATCAAACCCTGGAATGCCAGAGCTGGGAGAAGCCTAGGGGTCATCAAGGTTAATCATTTCATTTTGCAATGAGGAAACTGAGGCCCAAGAGAGGAAGACATTTACACAAGGACACTTACGAATTACCACTAACACGGGCTAGAAGGCAGGGGTCCTGACCCTAGAAATGGTGCCCCCTTGCTTGGCATGCTATTCCCACCAATCTGGGGAAATAATCTAACTTGCATCTGCCATTTGCATTCCACGGCCCCTCCTGCATGGCAGGAGTCCAACATTCCAGACCCCTTTCTTCCTCTTCTTAGGAAGTTCTCCATCAATTATCCCTGACTGTGACTGCATCTTAGAACATTATCTTTCCTTTGTGTCTAACATTCAGAATGATAAATGGAGTCCCTTGGTAAAGAAATTGCGAGGTGAGGTGTCCATTCTGGACAGTGGGGAGGGGGTGGAGATGGTGAAATAATATTGTATGAACAATTCTTGATTTCAGGACACTTCACTTGCCCAAATTCCTGATTCCATGAGATTTTCTCTAGACAGCAATTCCTCTTTGGCTGTGCTCATGGGTTAAAGCTCTGTCAGGGGTCAAGAGAGCACTTAGGAGTTAGACAGACCCAGAATGAGCCTCAGCTCTAGTTTGAACAACTTACTTTCCTTTTAGGGAATCTCTTTTCTCACCTACAAAATGGGGTCAATGATGAATTGGGTTACTAGGGAGATCAAGGAGATGGCTCCAATAATTCTTCCTAGGCCTACCTCATGGACTCAATTATAGACAGCTATGGGTAGAATTCCTATCAGATATTTAGGGAAAAACTTGGACAAATAAACAATCAAAATGTAATCTGATTCACCCAGGATGGAGCTGTGAGAACTCAATTTTACTGAGCAAATGACATACTTTCTGGGACTGCCAAGCCCAGCTCATATTTTTTCTCTAACTCCTTGGGATCCCAGGAGCCTGGAAATGTGCTTTCAGGACTAACATTGGCAGAGGATTGCATCCTTCTTTTGATGCCACCATTTCTTCTGCCTCCGCTTCTCTCTCTGACTTTCTCTAGCCTCAGTGCTGGGTGAAGTTCCAGTTGGCTATTTTTGAGAAAACAACCATCCTGAAATCCTTTCTGTCCCCATTTCCTGCCCCAGCTGGCCCAGGACCTTGTACAGAGGCCTCTTTTCTGTTTGCGCTCCTTGTCCTTCTTCCTCTGTAACTTCTGTTAAGGTCGATTTCTTACCAAGAGCAATGAGAGTGAATCTCTTCCCAATTCCACCAGTACTAACCTTTGGCTAATGCAGCCTCCCAAGTGTTTGCTTGTCTTGTTCCAGTTCAACTGGCTGCGTTTTAGTTTTCTCAAAACAATATAGTGGCCGATATCATTTCACATCCTAAAATGTTAGAGCTGGACAGGGCCTCAAAGATGGCTTTGGTTTAGGGCCAGAGAAATTAGGTGACTTGTTCAGGGTCATATGTGGATTCATAATACTTCATACATTTAACAATTGGATATTGAGGGCCTACTATGTGCTTTGCACTAAGCTGGGTTCTGAGGATAAAGAATGAACAAGCCCCTGGCCTTAGGATGCAGGCAATGTCAACACCACATATGAGGTTCTAAGAAAACCAGACCTCAGGTCTCCTGGCGTTTCCCTCCTTGTCCTCTGCTTGATGAGTGAATGAATGAATTTCAATCGTAAAGGCACTCCCAAGAGATTTCATCTTCTGGGTAATCTTTTAACTAAAATTAAAAAATAGGCACACCTCTTTCGACAGTGTTTGTAGTTATTCCTTATTTATTTATTTATATTTAGTGAGGAAGATTGGCCCTGAGCTAACATCTGTTGCCAATCTTCCTCTTTTTGCTTGAGGAAGACTGGTGTTGAGCTAACATCTGTGCCAATCTTCCTCTATTTTGTATGTGGCATGCTGCCGCAGTGTGGCTTGGTGAGTGGTGTGTTAGGTCCTCGCCTGGGATCTGAACCCATTAACCCCAGGCTGCCCAAGTGGAGCACACGAACTTAACGACTATGCCATCATGCCAGCCCCTATAGTTATTTTAATACTCATTCAAGATTGAAATTTCCTTTGGCACGTGTGTGGACAGGCTGAGCAAGTTTACTTTCTTCACTTTAAAAGATGAACAAATGAAAGCTCAGAGTCCCAGAACTTTTTGGAACCCAGTCTCTGACTTCAGCACTCTTACCCTCGGCCAGGAACTCCAGGCTCGGAAGCTCTTCACGTCCTGTCCTGAGTCATGTTCCCTCAGGAAACACAGGTAGAGGAATGAGAAGGGGAGGCGTGAGAGTGACAGAGGCATCAAGGGTCCGTTCTAAAGCCAGTTACTGCTGTGGGCAACCACAGCTCAGTTCTTCTGGGGCACTATGGGAGACAGGGCAGAATATTCCTCAGAGTTATTGCAACTCTGGAAACAGACATGTTAATCTGACATCTCCATCATGGTTGAGTGCTTCTTCTAGGGGCATCGACTCCTCAGTTCTGTGCGCTCGCCCTGCATGCAGGCAGAGTGTGCATCCGTGACCAGAGCAAAAGGTCTCCTGCAGGGTTGCAGGTGCAGTAAGCATCCTTCGGAGTATAGAGGCCAGTGCCAAGAGGATGAGGGCAGGACATGGAAAGCATGTGTCATACCATACTGCCTTGAAAGCCACGTGGTGGATGCAGGGTAGTGGCTACAGCTAGGGCATGGAAACACTGATTCTGCACAGTTCAGAGTCTGCATCTCCTGCATTTTGTCTGTTGTGGGGTGAGGGCATGTCCATGGTCCTGAATCACCAGTTCCTGCTTTAGTGCGGTTCTTCTCTTGATTGTGGCACATGGCTAATTCCTATTTACCCTTTCCCTAGAGTTTACATTTCTAGTTTGCATTTCTCTCTTGATTAACATTTTGCAATTTTTATGCTATCTTGCCACAAAAGAACCATGACTTTCACTTCACAATTTACGATTTGCATAGCTGATATGATGTACTTTTCAGTCCTGACTCTTTTTCCACAGATATTTCATCCTTCCTAGGGGGTTTAGACAGGATGTGTTCCCCATATGTTTTATAAAGCCCCTTCCCCTTAAGCTTTCGCTGTGTCTGGGCACCCCAAAATACTGCCCTCATCACAAAGGCAGTGCAAAAAGTACTTTGTAGTCTCTGGTGTTCTGGAAGCTTCTCTGCTTCTGTGGACGCCAAATGAATCATCCTTCCGTAGCCTCAGCTCCTTTGACTTGATGGAGAAATATCTGTAGTTTGCAGTGTCACAGTTTATCAGCGTGGGATCCTCTGTGGTGTTTACAGACACTAGATTTTCTTGTGCTCACCAGATGAACTTCACTGACACAGGAGGAGAAAGAAGACAATGAGTGGGGAGGAGAAGCAGAGGAAGCCACAGAACTGTACAGTACTCTCTCTTCCTTCCTTCTGCTATATTTCTCTCTGTAGGACTCACCGCCTCCTAGCATACTAAATAGTTTACTTCTTAATATAATTCATTGTATTCCTCGCTATTCCACTAGAATATAAATTCCAAGAGGGCAGAGTTTGAGGTTTTTGTTTTGTGTGTGTGTGTTTTTGTTGTTGTCATTCACTGCTTCGTTCCATCATACAAGAGAGTAGCTGGCACATGGTAAGCACTAACTGGATGCTTGTTGAATGAATGAAGGCTTCTGTGCAACTCATCTGCCCGTTTCAGATCTGCTAATGAAGGCAAAAGGTTAGGAGGAAGGGAGAGCGAGAGGGAGGAAGAGAAGAAGCAAATAAGGAATTTGCCAGTGCTTTTCTGGACACTTCTCATAAATGTTTCATTTTGTCTCCTCATCCCTGTGAAAAGCAGGAGCAGTTGTGTTCTTTCTATAGACAGGAGCGTTGGGGTCTGCCTCTCCCGTTTGGATTTCTCAGAAGAGACAATAAGGGCTCTGCTGAGCACACGTAGCCAACATCCCATTAAAAACAACAACCATCTTTGCAGTTAGACAAAATGGGTTTCAAACTTCCGTTCTGCCTTTTACTAACTATGAGCCCTTGGTCAACTGACTTCCCTCTCTGAGTCTCTATTTCCAAAAGGGAATTGTCACACTAAGAGCACTGTCGTGAGAATAAATGAGATCACGTGTCATAAAGCACTCAGTATGTAGTAAATGTCAGTCTCGTCCCTGTCACTTCACCCCTCCAACCTTCACATCAGACCTTCCAGCCTCCAAATCCGGAACCCTCCCGCTTGCTTCCTGCCCTGGTTGTCAACACCACTCAATAATAACCGGGAGGAAGAGAGTTTGGTTGAGAAACCCATGTTCTGGGCCCATCTCTAATTGTCTTGGGGAGGTTTGGGGCAGGCTGTGCGTCGAAAATATGCGACCTGGCAGTGAAGAGCCCAACTCTCCGTGTTTTACTTTTATTTGTGATGTTCCCCATCAGGCCAGCTTCCCGATGGCAATCAGCACGTCTGCTGGAGCTGGCACGGGCTGCCGGGGAGTGCTGCTCTCTCAGCTGCTTTGGCAAAGCCTCACTGAGCACTGGGGCCTGAAAAGAAAGTCAGACCTCTGGATACCACAATGCTGTCCCTTCCATGCACAAGCAGGGCGAGGAGGAAGACAGGGGCACAGGGCTCAGAGAGGAGTCACACAGCTCATTGAAATCAGAGCTCAGAGTAGATTCTGATAGGAGTTTACACTTCCATTGTTAGGAGGCAAGTCCTTTCAGCTCTGGGCTTGGATGTCCACCTGGCAAAGCAAGGATGATGGATGGAAAGAGCATGAACGTCTCTTTCCTATGTAATATAAGAGGTTCAGAGTCAGGAGTTTTAATTCACTGTAGACTAGGGTAAGTCACTCCCCAAGTTGATCTCCTCTTCTTCATGGCAGCTTCTTGATCTCCCTAGGCTCCTCAGCTGTAAGTGGAAGGGTCCAGAATTCCAGGAGGAACATCCTTTGGTTCTTCACGTTGGCTGAAGTCCTGGCAGCCCATGAATTAGCTTGGCTGTCAGAGGCCACCCCCCTCTGCTAACCCTGCCTGTCTGTGTCCTTCAGGCAACAACAGCCTCCTGACCTGTATGGAGGATGGACTGTGGTCCTTCCCAGAGGCCCTGTGCGAGCTCATGTGCCTAGCTCCACCCCCGGTGCCCAATGCAGACCTTCAGACGGCCCGCTGCCGAGAGAACAAGCACAAGGTGGGCTCTTTCTGCAAGTACAAGTGCAAACCTGGATACCACGTGCCCGGCTCCTCTCGGAAGTCAAAGAAGTAAGTGCAGCCAGAAATATCAACCCACAGTTTCTGGGGAGGAGGAGAGCCCAGTCTGGATGTCTGATTAGAAGGAAGCACTCCTATCTTTGCTGGAGTCAACACCCACCATTCATCACATTCCTGTCCTGTGGGAATCTAGAAGGACATTGTTAATAGCTGCCTACTGGCTGTGTGACCCCAGGCAAGCAACTTCACTCCTCTGGGTTTTTATTTTTCAACAATAAGAAGGGATGATAATAACAGTTACCACACAGGATTGTTGTGAAGAACAAATGAGGATGTGTCTCTAATGTGCTTGCAAAGTGCCTGGCACGTAGTCATTGCTCAGTAAACGATTACTATGGGTATTCATTGTGCCAGCACCCATCAGAACAATCCTGAAGGAAGGGAAAGGACAAGGGCTCACAGAGCTTGAATTTAATTTTAAGCCACATGTAACTGAGAGAATGTCTGAAACTCTTACTTGCCCCCGTAGAAAGAGTTCTGTGAATGAATTTTCCTTCATCCCTACAGACGCCCCCCACCACCCAATAGGACAGGCAGAATGCAAAAGTGAAATGAGAGGCCAGCTGGCTCCAGAGAAAGTTGTGTGTTTTGGTAGGGCAAGGGTCTAGCCATCTGGTCCTTGAGATGTCTCTTCTTTTATCTCTTCCTTGAAGACGGGCCTTCAAGACTCAGTGCACTCAAGATGGCAGCTGGCAGGATGGAGCTTGTGTTCCTGTGACTTGTGACCCACCTCCACCGAAATTCCATGGGCTCTACCAGTGCACTAATGGCTTCCAGTTCAACAGTGAGTGTAGGATCAAGTGCGAAGACAGTGATGCTGCCCAGGTAAGACTCCTTGAACTTGAGATCAGTACTTCAGTCCCTCTCTTATCTGCTTACCAAAGACGGGCTTATATTTTAAGAATCACTTCCTCCAGGAGACTCTCTACAGATGGCAGAATTGTATAATGACAATATCACCGATGCAGAAGTTAAGAAACTGGGTTTTAATTCTCTTCCTTTGTAATCTCTCTCAGCCTCGTTTTTCTTCCTGTAACACCATATTTTATTTGTTAAGAGATTCTTAGCTTTGAAAAATTTTTAGTATGGGAATCCTTACAAAGGAAAGCATATATGGAATCCCAAGGTATGAAATTGATCGGGTTGAGTTATTCTGATAGGATTGACCGGGGCTGTTTTGCCAACTTTCTTCCACCATCACCAACTATGTTGGTCACTGGAGTCCTTACAACCACAAGACTGCCCTGGTCTTGAGACATCAATTGGCTCCTAAAGCATAAAGAGAAAATGAACCACATTTAGACCAGAAGTACAGTTTTGAGAACACTATGGAAGAAAGGGAGACCAGCAGGAGATGGCAAGGTTTGAATTTTATCTGAATCCACATGTAACTGAGAGAAAGTCCAACATTCCTGCCTGCCTTGCTGAGGGAGTTTTGTGAATGAATTTTTCTTAATCCTTATGCATATCCTCCACACCCGATATGAGGATAAGGAACCAAGAATGGAAAAGAGACATGAGAGGCCAGCTGGCTCCAAAGGAGCCTTAAATCCACAAGGACTTCCACCTTGACAGAACCAACCATTTAGGGTTGATAGATACCCCAAACCCCTTGTTTCACAGGTGTGCAAGGATCTTCAGCCAGGTGAGGCCAGAATTCAGTCAATTGGGTCCCAGCACAGGTCTCACCGGCAGTCAGTGCTTCTTGGTCTTTTTTATTGCCCACCAATGCCAGGTACTGCCAAACCCCCAGCCTCACCTGCTCTCAATCCCACTCCCACAGCCACACAATTACCAAGTCCTACCCAGTCTCCCTCCAAGACATCTCCTAAAGCTGTCACCCTAATGCAGGCCACCAACATCTTTCTCTTGGACCCCCGTGAAGCTTCCTGATCATCTCCCTGCATTTATGCCCTTGCTTCTCTGTAGGATGCATTTCAGCCAGAGTGATTTGTTTAGAACATAAATCTTATCATGACAGTTCCCTTGCTTAAGCCCTTTGGGAACCAAGACTCCCATCTCCCTTGGGATAAAATCCCAACTCCTCAGGGTGGCATTTAAGACCTCTCTTCCATCACCAGCGAGATGAGATGATCTCCCTCTCACCTCTGCATTCTCTCCCTTAAAGAGCTCCTCTCACCTTTTCCAGCTGCCTCACTCCTCGTCATCCTTCAGATCCCTCCCCTCCTCCGCGACCCCTTTCTTGATGTCACTTCTACTGTTGGGCTCAGTGCCCCTCCTTGGGATTCCCCCTTCACAGCATTGTCCACACTGCATTATAATTCACTTCACGTTCTCCCCTGGGCTGTGAAATCTTTCACCAATCTTTAATCTTCCCAAGTTTCCAGCACTTGGGACAGTGCCAGACACTTAGTAGGTGCTCAGGAAATGACCTGGTATGACAAAGAGCCATGATGAACATCCAGGCCAATTTTCCAAATGAGAAAATTAAGACTCAGAGAAGTCTCTCCACCACCCAAGGTGACACAGTTGGTGTCGGCTGACTCAGAATCACAATCCACATCCCCCCAGCTGTGGACAGACTGAATCAATAGGCACTGCCTGAAAGTCCTTGATAGTGTACACTCATGGACGTCTGTGTATCACTCCTTCCCATCCTCGACTGCTAGGGAAGCAGAAGCCAGTGCCGGAAGATGCGAAGGCCAGAGATTACTACGGCCTCACGCAGGCTGATCAACTTCCCTCTCACTCCCTTACATAAAACTGTTGCTAACAGTTACCCAAACTGCTGAGCCAAATAATATTCTGGCCGTGGTCGTGCTATCAAACTGAAACCCAGTCTGCCTGGGGCCTGCCAAGTACCTTTCATGGCCAGTTTGTATTTAAAGGAGAGGAAAATGTAAATTTATCAGACGAGTCAAGCCATTCTGTTTGGCAACTGGTGGAGAGGCTAGACGGAAAGGAGCAGGGTATTGCTTGTCGGCTCAAAGAATGAGGGAGCGCCTGCCAAATGGGCGCCTCATACAATTGACGTTTCTAGTTTGTACTGCAAATGAATTTCCTCTACCCTCAGACCAGGGGCCCGAGAGCCAAATCTAGTATTCACCTCAGATCCCCTCTTGCTGCCTGTAAACACAGCAGAAATGTACGGCCCGGAGCGTCTTGAATCAAACAGCTTGCACGGAGCAGAAATTCTTCGCTTTCCAAACAAGTTCCAGATCCTGGCAGGAGAGGACAGGGGCTATTGTAGGGGAAATTCGCATACTCCCTTCTCGCTGCCACTAAAAGCAAACTGACAAATGAAACCTCCACTTCGTCCATTCCTTGGCAGTCAGTATGATGCCGGATCTGGACTCTGAGTTCGAATCCTGCCTCCACCACTTACTAGCGGAAGGACTGAGGCAAGTTATTTAACTCTTTAAGCTTCAGTTTCCTTGTGCATAAAATGGAGGGAAACAATACTACCTCCCTCATAGTTTATTTGTCAGGATTAAATGAGGTAATGAAAACAGGGTATGTCTGTGAGTAACCCGGGGAACTGTGCAGTGCACAGCCTGTGCCACCAGACACGCCAGCCCTAGAAGGTACAAATGAACTAGCTTGCCTTTAAGGTCACTTCCAGAGGAGAGAATCCCTGAAGCTCCATGTGGGCTCTTACAGAACCTGCAAACAAAGGCAACAGTTTGAAAGTTAGCCCTCTGTCAGCAGCTAGCCCCAGAAAGTCAAAGAAGGGGATACCTATCATGCATGAAGCCTAGATGTTGGATGGGAGAACAGTATGAACCATAGAGAAACCTGATTTGTTTTTTCTGTTTGTTTGTTTGCTTGTTTTGGAAGACTGGCCTTGTGCTAACACCTGTTGTCCGTATTCCCGTCCTTTTTCTTCTCCCCAAAGCGCCCAGTACATAGTTCTATAGCCTAGCTGTAGGTTCTTCTAGTTCCTCCGTGTGGGACACCACCTCAGCATGGTTTGATGAGTAGTCCTAGGTCTGCACCCAGGATCCAAACCAGCAAACCGCAGGCTGCTGAAGTGGAGCACGCAGACTTAACCACTCAACCACGGGGCTGGCTCTGAGAAACCTGATTTCTTACTTAAATAAACCAGTAGGATATATAGACTCTAGACTAGCATTGCCCAGTAGAACTTTCTGCCGTGATGAAAATTTTCCATATCTGTGCTGTACAATGTGGTGGCCACTAGCCACGTGTGGCCGTGGAGCCCTCAACATGTGGCTGGAGTGAGCAACTAAGTAGGACATTTTACTTAACTTTAAAGAGTTCAAATTTAAATGTAAACAGCCATACTTGTATAGTGGCTACCATATTGGGCAATTCTGCTCTGGAATTTATAGTGTTAATATCCCTGTAAACCAAGCCAGAGAAGCTTCATAATCACCGCTTTTTGATTTTTAAGTGTTTCCTGGATGCCAAACTGGGGCTGCAGACTCTCTTTCATTTCAACAACTCACAATACACATTGAAGAAGAAACAACATCCCCATTTTACAGATGAGGACAGAAGGATCGGGAGACTGAATTCTTGCCCACGGTGATGAGTTAGGAGGTGGCGGTGACTGACTCCACAGCCCTGCTCTTCTTGCTGCCTCCAGACAGTTCCAGGCCAGGCTAGCATCCCATCCGCAGGCAACTGGGGAGAAGTGCTAATTGTGTCAGCATTTAGTCCCGCTTAGGTACCCTACTGAGCTATCCCAGATGGCAACTCAGGGCCGTTCCGTGTGAGCAGCACTGTGGGGGCTTTCCAGGTGATTAGGGGAATAGTCCCTCTTGGGATGGGGACAGGGTTTGTGGGAGATGCACGCACAGGGGCTGCAGCGAGAGAGGAAGAGGCTAAAAGTGCCTTGTGGACCAAGTAATGCACTTAATGGTGGGTTTCAGCAGCTCAGCAGGAACAGGAAAGGAAGGGAGGGAGTGGAATCAATAGGCCCCCAGTTCATTGCACAGATCACAGCGGGTGGCTGTAAAAGCCTTTCCGCCGCTAGTGGCGTGCAGCTGGCCCCTGCCTTTAGCGGCTCTGCTGTGGACACAGCATAGCTCTCACATGTACAATGCCTCCACAAGCAGGGGCAGCAGCTCTGGGTTGTCAAATGCTTACCCAAGCACCCAGAGCTTCCTAGAGGAAGTCAGAAACATCACAGACTTATGTGATGTTAGAGGTGGAAAGGACCTCAGAGATCCCCCCACTGCAACTCACTCATGTTATAGATAGGACCACTAGAGCCCAGAGAGCAGAAGGGACTTACCCCAAGTCACACAGCAAGCCACCAAATAGAGTCAGATCTTAAACAAAGTCTCAGATCTCCTAACCGAGTCATTGCACAAGCCAGATTTTCTGCCCATCCTTACTCCTGGGCCTGCATGTCATCCTTGTACCTTACTTGAAGGAAACAAAATGCCTGTAAGGGTGTTGGCTGGGAACAGAGGCACACAATTAACAGCAGCTGCAATTTATTGAGCATTTACTTCGTGCTGGTCATCCGGCTAAGTGCTTTACACAGACGGCTTCATTTAAGCCCGACAGTATCTGGCATTACTGTCCCATCTTGTAGATGAGGAAGCTGAGGTTCAGTGAGCACAGTGCTTTGCTCATGTTATATAGCACGGAAGTAGGGGAACTGAGGTGCCTGTTATTACATCAGGATGCCTCCAAAGCTTAACTATTATGTCCTGCCCTGCATGGTTCTGTCTTGCTCTGATGCTGCCACATTATTTTGTTTATTTTCATTTCTACTAAGGAGAAGAAGTCTATTTCTCCCTCTCCCCTCATCTCTCCTCCCCTCCCTCCCTCTCCTCTTCCTTCTCCTTCTCTCCTCACCTCTCCTCTCCCCTCCATTGTAGAAAAGGCACAGAGATTTACAGTCAAGACCCGACTCTGGCATGGGCAGCCTCCATGACTTGGGCACATTGCCTCACCATTCTGGCTGCTGCCATTTCTAAAATGTAGGCAATGGTTGGGTTGGTTCTGAAGTTCCCTTCGAGACAGTACAGCAGAGAGGTTAAGAGCCTTAGCTAACAGAGAGGCCGGTATGTGTGTTAAGTTCTAAATGCTTCACGTAAACTAACTCACTCGATCCATGTGATGTCTCTCTCTCTCACGTAGTGGACTCCCATTTAACATTGAGGAAATTGAGGCATAGAGAAATTAAGAAACTTCCCCAAGTCCACACGGCTAGGAAGTGGCAGAGCTGAAATTTGAACATAGACAGTTTGGCTGAAGTCCATGCTCTTAACCATTGGGGTAGCATCATTTAAAAACTCACTTTTTCACTTCTTAGCTGAGCCTCAGTTTCTAAGTCTTTAAAAGGAATATAATTGCTATTCTGTTTTTAAAAGGATTTTTAAATGCCTTTAAAGCACTTGATACATAATCGGTATTTGATAATATAGTTATTATAGGCCCTGAGCTCTTTGTGGGCCTGTAGAGCTAAAGAGAGTTTGAGAGAGCACAACATGCTCTTTGACAGACATGTGCACAGGCACAGAGAGGCAAAACATTTTGCCAAATGATGCTCAGCCCTCTTGTGAGAGATTTCACCTTAGCATGCAGAATTGTGCATTCAGAGCCAAATACACCCAGTGCGTTTCTTGCCAGTGGACTTCGGTCTTCCCAGATTGGACTCTTAAACATCAGGTCTTCTATGGTTGAACTAGACTTGACATCAAGGATGTATACTAAGGATCTGCACCAAGTCGTAGGCGAGCCCTAACGCACCAAATGCTAGTCCTAAAGGAGGATTTGAAAATCCAGAGAGGCTCCAAAAAGTCTGCAGTGCAGAGAGCACAGGAAGGGCAAGGGAAGTGGGAAGCAAGAGAAGTGTGCAGGAGAGACCAGGTGACCACAAGCCTAGAAGGAAGGACATGTGCATAGTGAGAGATGGGGCTAGGCATGTCATCTGGGTTCCATTTTGGAAGCTCTGGAGTGCCAGCCCATGAGTATGACTTGTTTGGCAGGCTGAGATGTCTTAGCAGAAGGGTGCCATCTTTTACAAGCAGATTTAGTCAGCAGCAGAAATTGCCAGATGAACTGGGCAGGAGGGAGAGAGACTGGAGGCAGCAAGACCAGTGCCTTTGTGCTCCCACTTTCTATGGTGGAGTCTCCCCAGTTTGAAATTCCCTGAACAGATCTAGCTAGTTCTAATACATTCTCTGCTGCAAACTGAGCTCCCCAGCCAGCTCTGGCCCACATAGTGCTGAGGTCTGCAGCCCTTCAGCGGCTGGAGGCCAAATGCATCATAGGCCCAGGCCAAGGATCCAGGAAATTGGGGTCAATTTCTACTCCCTCGAGGGCCCTGCAGAATCATGAGGCCTGGGGTCTGGGGCTCCTGGAGGGAGACTCAGGGTTCTCTGAAGCCACATGAAGCTGTCTAAACTTTCCCTGAGCTCACACAGAACTTCTAGGGGTGGACTCTGCAAATCCTCTTGCAGCTGCATGTTTGGGATGGGCCACCATTCTCCCATGCCACAGAGGTTTCCACTGCAATTGGACCGTCCTTGTGCTGGCCCATGAGAGGTCCAGAGAGGGGCCCGCTTTCTCTTCTGAATCCTGTCTCCTTGCAGCTGTTTTCTCAGACAAGAGACCTTCATCCTGCATTAGTCCTTTCAAAGAGTTTACTCATTTCCTCACACACGCACTCATTCATTTATTCCCTCATTCACTCATTTCCTCCTTTACTCACTTTTCATTTATTTCCTCATCCACACATTCATTCTTCTTGTTTATTAAACAAATTCATTCCATAACTCCCTACGTATTCACCCCATCTTTGTTAAACTGTTCTTGAATGAATAAAAATATCTATTAAGTGATGAATGAATGAACCAGGTGGCCAGGATCTATTAAACATTGTGGAAGGCCTTGAGGATAGGGAGATGAATAGGGTACCTTGAGGAGCACATCATCTAGGTGGGAGCAGATGATAAATAAAGAGACAGAATGTGCCAGAGACCTTAAAGTAGTACGCTCTGTAGAATTGGGGCATCATTAGGACAGGATGGTTTGTGCCAGATAAGGCATTTGGGCAAGAGGGCAGGGCAGATAAGGTATTTGGGTGAAGATGCATAGCAGATAGAAGGAGCAGTGAGTACATAAACATGGCGGTATGAAATAGCATATGGTGCATTTGAGAATGCAGGCAATTTAAACTGAAGTTCAAGGTTGGTGGTGGTGCTGTAGGGAGCAAGAAGCTGGAGAATTAGCAGGGTTAAGGCTGCGAGGACTCTAGAGCCCAGACATGGGAGTTTGAATGGAAGCTGAAGGGTATGAGAGCCATTCCATAGGTTTTTGCACTGGTGGAGCACGGTCAGCTCCTCTGGCTTCATGCAGAATTTCTCTTCTGATCATAAACTTGAAGAGGGAGAGAATATACACAGCTTGTTCTCAGATAGATGGACCCCCTGTGCAGAAACCACCCATGGTTCTCCATCTCCAAGGGGTACAGTCCAAACTCCATCAGCTCACATAAGTCCCCACACCTGATCTGCCTTCCCAGCTCATCCTCCTCTGTTTCTCCCCGTGGATCACAAGACCAGAACCACATGGGGGCTCTGTTTTGCGGCTCACCCACTTCCTTGCATTTGCACATGTCCTTTGGCCTTCCAGAAATGTCCTTCCATGCCTGTTCTGCCTGTGATTCTATGCATCCTTGAAAACTCTTTTCCATATATCACCTCCTTATATCACCTCCTTTAATAGGTCTTCGCTGCTTGTCCTCTCACAACCAGTTACTCTCCCTGTGTACTCACAGCACTGTCACCGAGCACAGTGACACTGACGTGGCTGGCTGCTCACATGACTGTCTCTCCCACTGGCTCAATGGGGCAGATACTGACTCACTTTACTTTTGGACCCCACAGAGCTGGGCACAGAGTGGGCACTAAGAAATGCCCTTGAATTCAGGGGCAGTTCTGAAATTCCTGTAGACCTGGACTTGCCATTAGAATCTTAGACATTGAAAGGGTGCTCGGAGAAAGGACCACGTCTGAAGCTGCATTTGCCCGCCACTTTGCAGAAGATTGAGAAACTGTATATTGCCTATTTTAAAGAATTGGGGGGAGGGCAAATACAGAAATATCCCCATACCATCCTCTTGTGCTGTTATTGCTGGAGTGGAATGGAATGGAACGGAGCAGAAGGAAGAGAGAGAAGGGAAAGGGGAGGGAGGAGGTACCCTGGAAGAGAAAACTGCACAGCTGGGCCAACATTGCCTGCTCAGCATATGGCAGAGCCCTGACATGGGAGGCTTTCTCATTGGCTGAGAGAGAGCAAGCATGGATGTCTACCTGCCTCCTAACAGCTCCAGGACCCATGTTCTTACTCAGTGTATGAATTGGGGTGCATTGGGCCCCTACCATCTCAATTAAAGAAAAACCAACTAACAAAATAAATTCTTCTTATTGAAATCTCTGAAAGAGCACTAAGCTAGGATTTAGGAAACCTGGGAGTTAGGCTCTCTGGGAAGCTTTGAGCAAGCTTCTTCCTACACTGAGTCCTCAGTTTCCCCACCCATAAAATGGAGATATTAACAGTGCCTCTATTTTAGGATGGTTGGGTTCCCACCACTGTTAAGAAATTGTTTGGGAACAGTTTCAGAGCTCTGGGGAGATGAGAAATTGTTTCCCTTTTATTTGGAGAGGTTCATTATGTTGAGGGTGGGAGTTTCTCTGGGTCCTAACTGTGTTTCTGTGGCGTTCAGGGACGTGGGAGCAACGTCATCCACTGCCGGAAGGATGGCACCTGGAGCGGCTCCTTCCATGTCTGCCAGGAGATGCAAGGCCAGTGCTCAGCCCCGGACCAGCTCAACAGCAACCTCAAACTGCAGTGTCCCCAAGGCTATGCCATAGGTATGATGGGTGCATGAGGGTGAATAGTGGGAGGGGCAAGTCCTTCCGGGCCCTTGAGGCTAGTGCCTTGCTGTGTAATTGGGCACCTCTACCAGATGAGGCTCAGTGTGAGGCACTGGGGAAATGAAGATGAATAAGACCAGACCTTGCCTCTTAGAAAGAGAGTTAAGGCCATGAATGTTTATGAAGCAGTGGCAGGTGAGAGTACATAGTTACACCTGAGTACAGAAAAGCTGGCCAGCACCTCAGGGAACAAGGAAGCCTCCTAGAGGAAGGGACACTTATGCGGGGGACTTGAAAGAGTTTGTTGAGCAAGAAATGGCATTCCAGACACAAGGAGCCACGTGGCAAAGGGAAGGAGATGGGAAAGCACACATCATATTTCAGAAAGTGATTATGGTTGAGTGTGGTTGCCTTTATTAACCTTAAAATTTGAATAATACTAATCATTCATGAGGACCTACAAGGGTCAGGCCCTGACTAGGCGCTTTAGAGGCATTATATCTTATGGTCTCAATAACCTTGAATAGATGAGAAATTGAGACTTAAAAGAGGTAACAGAACATGCCCTGTATCCTGAGATCTCTCCTACTCTGAAGCCGGAGTTCTTTCCATGGCGTCTCAGGGCATCCAAAGTGAGGATAAATAGCATTTTCAAAATATTATTTGTGTGGTGATAGGCCAGCTCATAAACTGCTCACAGCCAGGGGAGACAACCTGGGGTTTGATGCCAGGGATTTGCCTCGTTGGAACCAGGCGTCTGGACAGACGCATCAATCATGGGCTCCAAGGCTTTCTGGGGAACTGGGCGTGCATTGAGTCTGACCTCAGTTGAGGGCAGTGAGGCTGACCTCTTGGGCTGATTCCCTAATTGACCATGATGAAAATCTCAGGGAATTGGACGTCCTTCTCATGGCCAATGTGATTTATGGGACAGTCACCGGGGATGTCTGGAGCAGAAGGTTATCTGTGCACACACTCACTCTCAGTCACACAGAGCCAGCATGTTCTGTACCCAGCAGAACGAGCGTTATCACTTCCTGTCCAGAAGCCAGCCCTGCCATCAGAAAGCGGAGGTGCGTGGGGCCTGACCACCTCCTTCTGAAGATGGAAACACATAGCCTCAGAGCACAGAAGTTCTTCACCTAAACTTAGAGTAGGAATCAGCACTCCTGCATTTAGTCCAGAGCACTTGCTTCTGTGTGGGTCAGAAAACACCATAGTGCGTGCTCTCTCTGATGATTCAGAAGGTACTTTAAGATCCTGCAGAGCCACCAATCCAAAGGACCCTGACCAGGAGAGTTGCAGAGAGGTATGATCTTGTAGGGCTTGCCACTATAGGCATTCTAGAAGACTGGGGCAACAGTGTAGCAGTGGTGAGTAGCACGGGCTACTCCAACCCAAGGGCGTAGCTTTCTCTTCTCCATCATCCCTGATGGGCATGCATGGCTCTGGACACTTATGTCTATGTTGGGGTCCCTACCCCCAACTCAATTAGGATATACAAGTGAATATTCAATCACACTCAGGACTGGCATTAAGCGGCCCTGGGAGAAAAATTCTGATTAAGTGACTTCTATGAAGAAAAACAAAAACCCTATGAAAACAGACTTCCTGCATGTCTGCATCCACTGGCACATTCAAACATATTCACACCTGCATAAACAAACACAAGCACAAATGCTTAATAACCAAACATAGACCCAAACACACACATCATGTGGTAAACTCACGCCTAGCATGTACACCTCAGCCAAATACCACACAAATACATAACTCACACAAACACGTGCCCACACAGCTACACATAGCACACATGTGACACATAAGGACACATATGTCACAGGCACAAACACATCTTAATTCCTGAAATATGTCAAACACAGAAAGATGTGCAAAAGGCATCTCAAAGACATAGCTTATGGGGCCGGTCCGGTGGCGCAGCGGTTAAGTGCGCACATTCCACTTCGGCAGCTTGGGTTTCGCTGGTTCGGCTCCTGGGTGTGGACATGGCACCACTTGGCAAGCCATGCTGTGGTAGGCGTCCCACATATAAAGTAGAGGAAGATGGGCATGGATGTTAGCTCAGGGCCAGTCTTCCTCAGCAAAAAGAGGAGGATTGGCAGCAGATGTTAGCCCAGGGCTAATCTTCCTCAAAACAACAACAATAACAACAACAACAAAACATAGCTCACAAACATGTTCACAAATGCATTACACAGCCACTTTGTACGTGCATTGCATGCACATCTCACAACACACTTATGAGCCATAAGGCCTGGCTCTCTACTTGTCCTCAGAATAGTCTAGAGATAGGCAGGGGTGGGACAGAAGCATTTCTTTACCCACTGAGCTCTTTCATGGTTGAAACAGAAAGGGAAAGAAGTCTGTATGACGTTGGAACCTGAATCTCCCTCCCCTCCCCCGTACCCATGTTCCCATGGCCGTGCAGGCCCTTTCATGACTATGGTTATCCAGGGTGGGTGGGGGCACATGGGGGAGGGCTATGAGAGAAAAAGCCACGAGGGAACACTGAGGGAGACAGTGAGAAGGAAGGAGGGAAAGCGGGTTTCCCAGCTCTCTCCTCACCTCCCAGGTGGAGCCCCTCCCTGGGGAGAGCCCACCTCACCAAGGAGAAGGATTTGCTCTAAGGCCTTGTAAACAGGGATGAGATAGGTGTCGGTGTTTCGGGCTTGGAGGCTGGAGGGCACATTCTGGAGCCACCCAGAGCGGCTCTCTCTGGGCCCCTCCCCAAGCAGCTTGGGGAGGCTGGCTCTGTGGCAGCTAGGAGCCATCAGAAAGTTGCTGCTGCCACCACAGCTGCCACCCTCCCTCCTCGTCCAGGGAAGGAGTGGGGGTGGGGGTGGGCCTGGTGAGATCACTGCTCTGTAATGATGCCAATTAGGGCTCATATATCACAACACAGCAGCCTGGTCTTGAAGCCCAAGAGCTGTGCATGGGGGAAGGGAGTGCAGAGGAGGGAGATGCAGAGAAAGAAATTAAGATGTGACTGTTGCATAGGGCAGCAATGGCCTACTGTGTTGACCATATTTTTTCCTTTTTTTGCCCTCTTGGGATAGGATAGCCTTTGTCTATTTCTCAGAGTCTGCATCTTCTTTTTTCAAAAGAATTTTAGCATCACAGCCTTGCTTCATCCTTGCTCCCTAAAACCTCCTTTCGAATTGATCTCATGACAAACACACACCACCAGGTCTCTCTGACAGCTCAGTGGTTTTCCCCCTTATTCTCATCACTCATCTTTTTGTCTTTTTGCATTCCCCCCATTTCTTTTCTCTCCTGTGGCCCTTCATCCATCTCCATCCCTTTCCACTGCTGCCTTCCTTTCTCTTTCCTCTATATGGCTCCAGTGTATCTGTCTCTGGGCTTGGAAGTCAGAGAGACATGGGTTTTCATTCATGGTGCTCTACTAGCCACCTCTGTAACCTGAGCTCTGTGCACTTGGCTCTCTCACCTGTGATATGGATGTGGTGACACCTGTCTCACAGGGCTGGGTTTGCAGGAGAATGAGGGACATATGAAAACTACCTGGAAAGGCCAGGAATCTCCCCGCTTCTGGGCTCAGTGTTCCCATACTTAAAGTGAACAGGTTGTAAACATTGTCCTGGCCCTGCTACCCCCACCCTCGTCTCCTCTTCAGTACTCGTGAGTCTCTTAGACTGAAGAGGATGATGAGACGGTAACAGGAAGGGCACTGGATAGATAAACTATCTCTATAAGCATATGTGTATGTATATGTATATATGTATGCATGTGTGTGCATATATATATATACACATTGTATATGTATAAACATTGGAAGGGAGCCTTTAGAATGGCTAATAGAATAGCATATTTAAAACTAAGAGTTGACTGTCTCTTGTGAACCACTTAGTGTTCAAGGGTGGTCTTGGCACTGAGGCGGGGAGTGACCTCCTTAGGGCCCTGGTCAGATTCTGACACGTCAGTTCTTTGCCCACATGAATGAGCACCTTTTTGGAATCCTGGGGACATCTCAAGGGATAGGCTTGATTTTCAGGAGACTTCAGAATGTGTGAGGTCAGGGCAGAGAATGAATGAGGCAAATTATGGTCAACTTGCCAAGCCACAGCTTGAAAGTCAACTGTCTTTACGGAGAAGTCTCTGGACTGATGGCTTCTGTATACTCACCCTGTCCCTGTTAGTCATCCATGCCTTCATTGACTCATTACCAGATTCATTTTTTCATCCCTTTATCAATTTATTTAGTTATTTATTCATTCCTCATCCATTTATGTACTCACTTAATGCTTCATAAGACACCTAAATTCCCATTCATCATTCACTCCTCATGCCATTAATTCATTCACTCACTTGCTCATTACCTCATTCATCTATACATTCATCACTCATCATCTCTTTCATTAATTTCGCAAATACTTATTGAGTACCTACCATCTGCCATGCACAATGCCAGGCTCTGGGCATAGCAGGGAGCACAGACAGTGCTGGCCTTACAGTCCAGCTGGGAGGAGAGCTATTGATATAACATAACAGTCACCAATGGGAAGTGGTAATGTGACAAATGCTGTGATGGATGACCATGAGAGGGTTTGGACTGTCAGGAAAGCATGTAGGCCTTCTCTGAGCAAGTGGCACTTGGACTGAGGTCTGAAGGATCATTAGTAATGCGCTAGTTGAAAAGGAGTGGGAAGGGTCTTGAGGCACGGGGGAGGCATGAATCCAAGCCCTCTGCAAGGACAAAGCATGGGGCTAAGAAGCTGGTGTTGCATTTATCTGCTCCCCATTCACTCGACTGATGCTTACTGATCAATCCCTGCATGTCAGGCACCTAGTCAGGCTCAGATATGAATAGACCTCATCCCTGCCCTCCCAGGGCATCAGAGTAACTATGAAAGGAGGTATGAGGGGGTAAGGCCAGCACTGGAGCAAGACTCCTCAGTGCCAAACACTGCTTTCATTCAGCTGCAGAAATCAGGGCAGGCTTCTTGGAAGATTTGAACTGGGCCTTGAAGAACCCATAGGATTTGACCATGAGAAGGTATATGGGGGAGCAATGATTTAGGAGAAGGGGTGAACAGAAGCAGAGGTACCAGAGGCGAGGAAATGTGAGACTCAGATGGAAAACCAAGTGGAGTTCAGTCTGGTGGGACCAACAAAGCGTGAAGGTGGTTCATGGGAGATGAGATTGATCAGACTATGGGAGGCCATGAATGCTGGGCAAAGAGGATTGGAATTTGTCCTTGATGTGGAGAATCTTGGAAAGGTTTACAAGCAGAGGAGGAGCATGACCAAACTGGGCTCAGGGCCGATGAGCATGGCGTTGGGTGCTAGCTGGATTGGAGACAAGAGAATGGAGTCAGGGAGACCAGAGGCGGCCCTGCCAAGGAGTTCACTCCTTCCCACTGCCCTCAAGGATGGGATGGCCCAGTCCACTGGGGACCAGGAAGCGGCAGGGCCTGCACTGTATGAGAGCAGCCCACGGGGCTCAGCCACCACCTTGCACTCTGCTTCCCCTCAGGGTCGGAGTGTGCCACCTCATGCCTGGACCACAACAGCGAGTCTATCATCCTGCCAATGAATGTGACTGTACGTGACATCCCCCACTGGCTGAACCCCACACGGGTGGAGGTGAGTGACCGGGACTGCCCACCTGCAGCTAAGGGGAGGGAAATGACCTTGTTGAGCACTTACTGTGCCCTAGTTCTGCATTAGTCCTTTTACATACGTTAAATCATCTACTCAGCACACCTGCTCTGTGGGGTGGGGACTTGTTCACAATCACTGCTCCCGTCCTTAAGGATTCAATACTTTCCCTCTGTCAGGTCCTGTGCTTTTTATTTACTGTCGCACTGAATCCTGATGATAGCCTAGGAATAAGAGGACTAATGTCCCCAGTTTACAGATGTGGAAACTGAGATACCAAGAACACATAGGTAGAAGGCGCAGAGTCAGCTCACAAGCATGTCTAACTGGCAAGTCCGTACTCATAAGGATGGTGCTGTTTGACTTCTCTAGGATAACGCCTTGGAAGGCCTTCCACATCACACAGCCTAGATCCCTGGTATCTTTCTCCATGCTTTACTTGTTTGGTGGAGAGCAATTAATATGTGATATGGGGAACGAGGAACACCTATTGTTTATGAAGCACCTGCTATGTTTGCGTGCCTGGCACTTAGTACACAAGACTGCATTCAAATTTCAGAATGGTTGTATGGAGGACAGGTCATTGTCTGCATTCTTTACTGCGGACGCTGGGATCCCAGAGTGACTCAGGAGCCCAGTGTAGGCCTGGAACTCCTCCCATGGTGCCAGGCTGGCATGCCCCTCGCCAGAAGACCATGTAGGCCCCTGGCAGCCAGTGTCACTGTCTGGTTTGCTTTGAGACTGACCACACCCATTTTTCTTTGTGTCACCTGGATCCATTGGGGTCCCCAGAGCTGATGGGGGACCCCGCTCTTGTCCTCCAGGGCAGTACAGATCCCAGGCTTCATGTATGAGCTCTGGGCACTAGCTCCTCACCCTGAAGAAAGTGAGAGAGGAGGCAGGGGGTGCAGGGCGAGGTTCAGCTATGTCTCTCTCCACCAGCCTTTCTGCCTGGTGTGCTGGGAGGCCACACCACTGTCTGCCCTCCTGCTGCAGATCACACTCCGGATAGCTGGGCAGAACCCGATACTAGGTATACTATTTCTCAAATGAGCTGAGGGCATGGCTGCAAGGGCTTACTCAGCACTCTGGGCATGTGGACCTGGCGCTGGGCCTGGCCAGGCCCCTTCCCCCAAGCACCCCAGCCTTCTCCTCCTCTCTTTTCTCCTTCCTCTTGCTCTTCTTGTACAGCTCTCTGCCCCCATCTCCAACTTTATTTCCTTTTCCTGCCTCTATTTGCACTCTTTCTCTCTTCCCTCTCTCAACACCTCCATCACCTTGTTCTCCTCCCTCCCATCCACGCTCTGCCTCCATCTCCATCCTCTCTGTGTCCCTCTGTCTCTCTGCCTCTGATTCTCCCACGCATCCATGAGACAGCTGCCTTTCCCTAACTCAGGCTTCTTCATCTGTTTTCCCTACTCAATGTGCCTTCCCCACTTCTCACCCAGAGTGCCGCATAGCTTCTCACCTAAGGCTCCAATGAATGCTGATCTGCAGTCCCACTCAGGAGCATGCACAGGGCCCAAATGTCAGAATCTCAGGAAGCTGGAGATCATAAAGCACAAGCCCCTCATGGCACAGATGGAGAAACTGAGCTGCAGAGAGGGAGGGGACCAAGCCAGGGTCACACAGCTCCAAGCTCTCCTTCCATACCTCCCTCCCCTTCCTCTACACTACCCTGACTCCCACACACCCAAAGGCAGGGGACTTCCACTCCCACACAGAGCAGACACAGGAGACCTCCCTCACACCCCAGTCCTGGAGGTCTTGGCCTGCAATCCAGACCAGGTTCCCCTGGCCCAGCTCCCACTCAGCCGTTTTCTCTGCCCCACCCCTGGTGAATTCCCACCCTTCCCTCTGTAAGCCCCGGGCACTAAAGAGTTCAGTTATAATTTACTGTGAAATAAATCCAGGGATTTGAAAGCCTGCAAGCCCCACTCCCCAGTTGCCCACCCGCCGCCTGCCTGCCCCAGCCCCCACCCAGTTCCCTGGTCTGCTGGCCTTTATTGATGCCAGCCTACCGAGAGAGCCGTAACGAGGTTCAGACCTCCACCAGTCTCCGGAGGCCTCATTATCCAGGAGGAAAAAAATGTGGTAGAAAAAGGGAGGAGGGCGAAGGGCAGAGATTGATGATTTCCAGGAATAAGGCAGAAAAGCTGCCTCCGCTGCACCCTTGCCCGTGGTGTGGTGAGAGCTACAGAATAGAGCTGCTGGTGCAGGCGTGGCCAGGCCAGAGCAGGCCCGGGGTGGCTCCGCTTGCTGAGGGTCCGCCTCCTAGTGACCGTGCAAGGTAGATGGTTGGGGACAAGGCTCTGCTCCAACTGCTGTCACCTATGTCCCCAGGGTAAGAAAGTGGGACGCGAGGGACCAGCCCAGTGGCACTACGGTTAAGTTTGAACGTTTTGCTTCTTGGCGGCCTGGGGTTTGCTGGTTCAGATCCCAGGTGTGGACATGGCACCGCTTGGCAAAAGCCATGCTGAGGTAGGTGTCCCACATATAAAGTAGAGGAAGATGAGCATGGATGTTAGCTCAGGGCCAGTCTTCCTCAGCAAAAAGGGGAGGATTGGCAGTAGTTAGCTCAGGGCTAATCTTCCTCAAAAAAAAAAAAAAAAGAAAGAAAAGAAAAAGAAAGTGGGAGGTGAGAACTGACATTTAAGGGATGCCTACTGCGAACCAGGCACTGGATCAGGCACTGTTCATTCTGTATTTGCACCCTCCCACCACACACACCCACCCCCCACACACCCACATACACACACACCCCTATGAGGTGGGTATTAGTCTCCCCATTTTTCCAGTGGAGGAAATGGAATCTCAGAGATGGAAGGCACTGCCTAAGGAATTGAAGAGCAGCTCAGTTTACTCCAGCTACCCATGCAGCCTCTGTCGAATGTACAAGGAAAATAATAAAGGCAAAATGTTTACTGATTGCTTACCAGGGATGTGCTGGTAAATGGTCAACAGCTGGCTCCCCCCAAACAACTCTGATTGGTAGCATTTGCCATTTACTGTGGTGTAAATATTACCACTGTAGCTGATGTCCTGTTTTCTAGGTTTCCATCACTGCACACAAGGGTGGGAAGAGACGGGCACTAGTGCCCCTTGTGAGCTCATGCAAGCCGGCTGCAGCCCACCCACCACTGGTGCTTGTCATGTGATGGGCTCTGTTGTAAGCACTCTGAATGTATTGGCATATATGATGAGAATGATGACCTCTTAGATGAGTGCAGTATCGACATTGAGGCCATGTACTAGTGACCTTTATGAAGGTAGGCCCAGGGTCATCTTATTTACCATGTATGCCCCTCAATGCCTAGCAGATAGTAGATGCTCACTAAATATTTACGGTTGCTGAATTGGGTGACCAAGGTTCTAGTTCAGGCCAGGAACCGTCTTGCTATATATGTCCTTGGACAAATACTATCGCTTTTTTAGGCTGCAGTTTCCCCATCTATGAAATGACGATGGGCCCAGATGGAGAGTCACAAACTCAACACCTATGAGAACCAGGCAGATGGAATAAATGGGTGAAGCAGGCCAAGTCCATCATTCTGTCTATTAAATATCTAGACAAATTATTAATAGTAGTAATATTTACTGCAAATATTTCAGACAGATGGAAAGACTTAAAGAAACTATAACAAACACCCATGAATATACTCCCCAACTTAAGAAATAAGATTTTACAAATACAGTCGAAGCTCTTTTCTTCTTATTGAGATATAACTTATATGCTCATCTTAGGCATAAGGCTTGATAAATTTCTATGTTTGTGTCCGCTGATGAAACCATTACCCAAGTCAGATGAGGACCTTTCCAACTCCCCAGAGGGGCCTCCCCTCCCTGTGCCAGGCAATGTGCCCCCTCACCAAGGTAACTTCTATTGGTTTTGCTTATTTTTCTTTTTTATTGAGGCATAATTGACCGATAACATTATATTAGTTTCAGGTGTACTATAACTTTTTAGTTTTACTTTCATAAAGAAAAACACTCTGTCCCTTTATTTTTTTAAAAATTCTCTTCCTTTGAAGCTCTACCCACACACATACATATGCACTTTTGAAAGTGATAGGGATACAGAAAAGTCTTGCTCTAATCTAATAAATGAGACAATACAAATGCAGTGACGGATGGAAATGCCCCTCAAGGTCCGTGCTGGAAAGACTGCAGGGAATGGTGGAGACTGTGGTGAAGTGTGGAAAACACATGTTGCTTCCAAAGGAGGATACTCTAGCCTTGTGTGGCATTGTGGAAATGTAGGTGCGGTGTGGCCAGATTTTCCATTTTTCTTGAGTACAAGAAATCTGGAGTCTTTAAAATGTGAAATTTCTCATTTTTTTTTAATATTGGCAAATAATTTTGACTTCTGTTAATCACTTTGTGGCCAAACCAAACATTTCTGTGGGTTGTGTGGCCTGGAAGCTGTTGGCTTGCAGCCTTTGGATGAGATAGACTCTTCTATCCCTGGACGTCTAGAATTCAGGGTGGCAGCCTCTCTCTTGCCACTCATAAGGAGTACCTCCAGTCGGTCCTGCTCTTCCACTTGTGCAGGGGTGCTGGGAAAGTTTCCCCATAGAAAACGAAGTTCACAACCTTAGAGGGTGATAATTCCTCTCAAAAGCTGGAAGCTTGGCTTTTACTATGGCTTTTGGAAAAAGCGTGGAAGGAGGAAAGAGAAGAAGAAAGGAAGGAAAGAAGAAAAGGAGAGAGGGAGGGAGGCAAATAAGGAAAGAAAAGGAAAATCACCATTTATTGAATATCTGTGATATGTAGGCACTATTTGTTAGGCAATTCCGTATATGCCACCTCATTTTGTCTCTGCCACACCCCAATGAGATAAGTTTAACACCATTTTACAGATGAAAAACTGAGGTTCTGAGAAGTTGTCACTGCCCATTCACATAACTAATGTGGTTGAATTAGAATTTGAACCCAGGTCTAATTCTCCTGCATTTCATTCTGCAAGGCAACCACCTTACACATTATAAACCATAAACCTATGCAGCACTGGCAGACAAAGATGCAGAATTCATTCCTTGAAGAGAAGGCAGCACTGTGGAAAACCCTGCCAAGTGTATAAAGGTCAGAGGTTCTGAGGGAATATGAAGTCCAGTCTATCTGATGTATAGAAGGAGATATGTGCCCTGGAGGGGAAGATAGAGAGATGTGTCTAGAATCCAGCAATTTCTCATCTACTCATAGACACACTTGTCCATTCACTCATTTGATCATTTGTTCATTGACTCATTCAAAAACATTGATTATGCACCTCCAAATGGCAGGTGTTCTTCAAACACAAGGCATACAGATTGGAAAATGCATAGGCTTTTTAAAAACTTACCCAGAAGAAAACCAGAAGCTCAGTAACCAATAACAAAAGGCAAAAATAAGTCAAATGATATAATTTACTCACAGAAGGTCCTAAAAATCAAGCAAAAAATGAGGAGAATAGGGAGTTCATCTTAGAAGATATCAGAAGGAGTGTCAGACATGGACCTCAGAAGGAGGAGGCTCTCTTAAGATGCTTTCTCACATGTCTTTCACTCTGCCTGGGGCCCATCTTCTCTGGGCTTCATGTTTTAGACACTGCCTCCTCCTACGTTTGTCTCAAAGCCTCTCTACCTTTCTAAATTGTGGTCTTTCCATTGATCAAAAGGGCAAGCTATTTTATACTTAAAGCTTCAGGGACTAGGGGAATTTGAAGGAGAGTATAGTGTTGAAAATATGTACCTGGAAATCAGACAGATGTGGGTTTAACTCCTGACTGTTTTTGCCTATGTGCATGATTCAGGGTAAGTTATTTAACTTCTCTGTGCCTCAGTTTCCTCTTGTGTAAACCAGAGTCAAAAATAGTACCTATCTCATAGTTACGGTAAGAATTAAATAGATGAAAGCTCTGAGCACAGGGCTGGGACTATAATATTTGGTCAATAGAGGGTTTTGTGTTGATGAGGATGAGGATAATGATGATGGGGTTGGTGATGGTGCTGTGTTGATGATGAAGATGATGATAGTGGTGGTGATAATGGAAGTGCTGGTGGTGGTGATGATGTTGACAGTAGTAGTGGTGTTGATGATGGTGGTGGAAGTGCTGTTGGTGTTGATGATGATGATGGTGGTGGTGGTGGTGGTGGAAGTGATGGTAGTAGTGCTGATGGTGGTGTTGATGGTAAAGATGATGACAGTGGTGGTGGTGGTGGAGGTGCTGGTGGTATTGATGATGATGATGATAGTGATGGTGGTGCTGGTGGAGGTTCTGGTGGTACTGATGATGATGGTGGTGTTGGTGGTGATGGTAGTGTCGGTGTTTATGATGATGATGATGATAGTGGTGATGGTGATGATGCTGGTGGAGGTAATGGTAGCAGTACTGGTGGTAGTGTTGATGATGATAGTGGTAGTGCTGGTGTTGTTGAAGATAATGATGATGGTGGTGTTTATGCTGATGGTCATTGTAGCCAGGAAGAAAAAACAGTCTATTCTTCCTATGCACCAAGACAGGAAATGAAAGCCATCTTATAAAACATGTCTGAAAGCACTCTGACTAGGCTGGAGGTCTCAGTGGCATCAAGAGGAACAAGGCTGACATTTGAGGGGCCTCATCTGGGTTCTCCCAACTTGTGGTGTAAACAGCCTAGCTTTTCCTTCAGCTCCTGCTCCTGTCCCCTTTCCCAGTTCTCCTCACATACAGAGGGGCCCTGTAGTGAGACAGGTGGGGCATGCAGCCCTGAGGAATAGTGGAAAATCCAAAACTCTTGGAAAGATAAATAGGCCCATGCAGATAGTATAAAAGTCCTTTTTCTGAATTCACGTCAGGTAAACCTCAACTGACAGAAACTTGTACAACCACACCGAGACACTCCTACAGACGGATTAAATTAGCTCTCAAATAAACAGGGGGAGGGATGGGCATCAAATCCCTTGTGGATCCTAACTTTACTGTTTTCTACTACTTGAACCATTACTAAATGTCCCTCCAACATCTCTGAATTTGTGCTGGGACCAGATTTTAAGACCCAGAGATGAAAGTCTGGTTAAAACTTCCCAGAGGATGAAAGCAGGTGATTTTCTCACTGCTTCTGGCCCCATAGCCAGGAAGTGAAGGGCAAGAAAGGTGGCTGACGGGGCTGGCCTCATTGCTGAGTGGTTAAAGTTACGTGCACTCTGCTTTGGTGGCCTGGGGTTTGTAGGTTCGGATCCTGGGTGCAGACCTACTCCACTCATCAGCCATGCTGTGGAGGAATCCCACATACAAAGTAAAGGAAGATTGACACAGATGTTAGCTCAGGGCTAATCTTCCTCAAGCCAAAAAGGAGGAAGATTGGCAATAGATGTTAGCTCAGGGCAAAGCTTCTTTACCCCTCCCCCCCAAAATAAGTGGCTGAGCTGGAAGGAAGAAACCCTGGAGCTACTCACATTCCTTCATTTGGTCAATATGTATTTGTTCACTGTGCTCCATGCCTGATCCTGAGGGAAGACAGAGAAGTCTAAAACCTAGGCCTTGTCCTCAAGAACCTTAAGGATGGTATTAGATTAACCATTTCCACATCATTTATCTCAATGCATCATCATAACAAGCTTATCACATTTTCATTACCCATTTTACAGATGGAAGGACCAAGCCTCAGAGTGGAAATTTACAAAACAATTTCAAGTCAGGATTGCAACAACATCTGTTGTACTTCAATGCCTAAGGTCTTTCCCATATATCACTGTGTGTATGTGGACAGGGAGAAGGTAGACAGTGTCAGTAGAGGCAGTAGGGGGCTAGATAATTGATTTCACATTGTGAGACTGGTTGGCAAATCTTCAAGTTACATTGTTTGTCCAAGATCTTTAATTTAATTCAATCTAGACTAAACTGATCCTGTAAACTAGACACTGTGCTAGGCATTGTAATGATCTTCTGATGCTCCAGAAGACAGGAAGACGAGTAAAGAAAATATTGTTCATTGATAAAATCATCTCTATTCTGAGATGGATCTATTCATGTATAACATAAATATTTACTGGGTCAGGCACCATTCCCAACATGGAAGACCCAAGGGTGAACCGGAGATGCTGTGGGGCAGAGAAGAAAGGCACCCAGCCCGGTCTTAGCCAGATCATCATGTAATTCCCTTTGTTCCAAGCTCACCATAAACCTAATTACAGTTTGGCTCCCATATAAGTTTGCCCGCAGGGAGAGAATTGGCTGGTCACATGGATTTTCCACCTTCTGGCCCAAGTGACTATTCATTTCTTAATCAAAATTAATCAATTGGCACTTAGCCAGGAGAGCAAGCCCTGATCATATAGACTTCCACGGCTGGTCCCTGAAACTTACCTCTCATTGCAAATCTAAGCATTTGCCTCCATGTTATTTTTATTTTATTTTATTTTATTTTTAAAGAAATCATTGTAATCTGGCATGAAAAGTAAGACATCTACAGCAGAATAGAGAATGGAGCTTCTAGGATTGTTATGTTAGCCCCATTCCTGATGCTTTTTTATCTTCCTACTGTTGTTTATCTTTGTTTTTTCACCTACTTTAAGAATTATCATCATGTTGGATTTTATGTTATGAGCTGCCTTAAATCATTTCCAAAACAATTGCTTGATTTCAAATCCTGGTTTCTCCACCTAACAGCTATAGAGCTTGGGGAATTAATTCTACTTATGACATGAGATTAATGCCCACCTCACTGCATGGTGGCGAGAAATAAGTAAGATAATACATAAAGTAATTAGCACCATGAACACACTCAACACATTTTAGTTGTCAATATCATAATAACAATAACTATTATTAAAGGAAGCTAGAAATAAATACATATATGCATACCTATAAGCTCTGCCCAAGGGGGTTGAGAAAAACACCACGGAGGAAGTAAGTCTTGAGCAGAAATTTAAAGGTAACTAAGGATTCTCCAGGTGATAAGATGGGGAACGACATTTCAATGAAGGAGAACAGCAAGAACAAAGTCACAGGGATATGAGAGTGTGGGCGACCTCAGGGAATTGTGAGCAGGCCCTCATGGCATGGCTGCTGGTGGAGGCAGGAAGGGTCTGTAAGAGTTACGAGTGGAAAACTAGTTCATTCATCCTCCAGCCCATGGCTCTCAAACTGTAATGTGTATCAGAATCATCTGAGAGGCTTGTTTTCAAAATGTAGAGTCCCAGGCCCTGGCCTCAGAGATTTGGATTTATTAGCTCCGAGGTGGTGCTGAAGCATCCGCCTTTTTAACGTGCTCATCACAGTGATTATGATGAAAGTGGTCCTCAGTGCATGGTTTGGGAAACCCTGCTCCACACTGTTCTCTCATCTTCCTGTTGTTGCCACACACATGCACACACGCAAACACACATGTACATGCACACACACGTGTACACACATACACTCTACACTTCCTCCTTTGCCCGCCTTATCCCCAACTCCATCCATAGGTCAAACATCAGCCAAGAATTTTCTGAAGGGCCTTTCTGACCATATCTCTATCCCTCAGTTCTGCTTCTCTTCAGCCCTTATTCCTGCAAGGGAAATACAGAATCATGACACCTACACAAACACAAATATTATTTTAATCTTATGGCTCCTGTTATTGCAAGTACCTGGGCTAATCCTTCATGTAAGTGCCAGGGTGAGGTCAGGATTTGGAAGATCCAGGAAGAGGTGGGGTGGTTGAATGTGGTGCTAACAAAGAGATGGCTCCCTCCCAGCCCCAAACCTATCTGACCTCTCTTTCCCTTTCTCTGCAGAGAGTTGTCTGCACAGCTGGTCTCAAGTGGTATCCTCACCCTGCTCTGATTCACTGTGTCAAAGGCTGTGAGGTGAGTCCCTAGAAATGATCCTACTGTTACTATTGTTATTGTTATATTAATCATAGCTACCATTTACTGTACCTCCTAGAGCTATAAATATCCCTTTACCAGATTTCTTGGACAGGAAGCAGCAAGCCCATTTTACAGATTATAGAATTGAGGCACAGAAATATGAACAAACATAGTCAAAAATACATTTAATGAGTAACAGAGTTGGGCTTCCAAGCCAGGTGTTTCTGGCTCCGAAGTGTGTTTTTAAGGTAATATTGCATCTGTAAGGGTGATAAGAGGTGGGGGGAGGCCGTATTGATTTAGCATCTATAATATGCCAGGCAGTTTACCAACATCATCACATTTAACTTGCACAGAACTACATGAGGCAGTTTATTTTTTTCTAAATTTCCACTTTACTGATGACCATTACTTACAGATCACTTCCTTTTGCCACACATGTTTGTCATTCAACCCCAGAAGTGATATGGACACCGTAGACCCAACCATTGAGCTGAAAGTGGAAGATCCTCTCTGACACTTCAATTCTCTGACTTCACAGTTGAGCCGTCCCCTGGAACTTGGCATTTCGGAGATCAGTGCTAAGCTTGGGAGGGGCAGGGCTAGAGTACTTGGACTGTCATCCGTATTCTCAAGGCAGTGTGCCCATGGAAATAAGAGACATTCTGTGCATGGTTTTTCTCAGCTGGCAGTGAAAAGGAGGCCCCAGATCACATCCAGTGGGATGTCCAAATCTCTGTGGTCACCCCAGAGCCCACTCAGAAATATCCAGGTGAAAAGGACTAGCTCTAGAAAACTTTGTATTTGATGAAATTCTTAGACTATCACAACCAGAAATGCTCTTCTAGATGATCTAAACCTAACCTTTTATTTTAAAGATCGAGAAACTGAGACCTAGACAGTGGCCAAGTCTAGAATTTTATGGAATACTCAAACTGGAAGGATTCTCAGTGTGATCAAACCTTACTCACTTGTTGTATAGAGTGGAAAAAGAGAGCCAGAGAGGGAGTGGACTGGCCCAAGCTTACACAGCATACCAGACACAAAGCCAAAGCAGGAACCCAGGTCTCCTGACTTCTAGGCTGATGCTTTTTCTCCTTCACTAGGCCACCTCCTGCCTATGGGCCATCCCCTGACCTGTAGGTGTCATAAGATAGTCTCCAGGTCACACGTTTCTTTCTGTATATTGGTTTCTTTCTGTATATTGGATGCCCTGTGGCATCTTCTCATGACACTAGACATTGTAGTCTTTAAGAACCTCCATTCTCCAAAGATTCAGCCAAGAATGACAGAACAAAAGCCAAGGCCCTGTGGCTGTTGCTTCCTTCCATCTCTCTGGATCAGTCCAGCCTTTCGGGAAAAGGAAGCTTGGGTTACCTGGGCACTCATTCTGCTGAGTCGGCGGTCTAGGCAACCAGTGTGACAGCAGAATTCGATCCCTCCTTTGACTCAGCACTGGGGCCTAAGAGACCCTCACCTGTCAGGCTCTGAGCCTTGCCAGTGATGCTTATCGCCTTTGCCCTTGCAGGTGCCCCCTTGTCTCCTTTCCTCCTTAGCTTAGAGCTAATAGTTTGTCTCTTGTCTGGAGCTGAAAAGTATGCCTACAAGAGATACAAATGCTGGGTCCAGGGAGGAGCCATCAACCTGGAGTGTCTGGAGGTAGCCAAGATCGAGAAAGGGTTTTGGGACACCTGAGACTCCTGCCTCCTGCCCCAAGCTGTGTCCAAAGTGGTCAGTCACTCACTCGCTCATCAAAGCTTCACTGGGTGCCTATTATGTGTCCAGAATTACTCTAGGTTCTGGGAATACAATGGTCTTAGTGAAGTGCAAACAGTAACTGTGCTCTCTCTGAGTCATCTGCGGTATCTTCTTGCCCCTCATCTCTCCATGCATCCATGTATCCATCTATCCATCATCTTACTAAATAAACATTTATGGAACATATATTTGATAAAGTTTTGCTCAAATTGCCAGGCATTTTGCTTGGAAATCTAGGATTCAAAAATAGATGACACACATTCCTGTCCATAAGGAACTCACAGAATAGTAAAGGAGATAGACAACATAAGAGAGAATTCTAAAATACGTACCAAGAGCTATAACCAAAGTTATAAAATTCAAGAAGCTGTAGAAGCACAGAACATCCTGGAGGTATTAGGGAAGTCATTTTGGAAGGGTGATGTTTGAACTAGATCTTAAAGGATGAATTGCTTGCCTGCACACAATATTAGTAGAAGTAGCAGCATGAGAAATACCAGCGACAGGAGAAATCTCTAAGTAGCTGAGCTTTTCACATGCTATTCCCTCTCTCTAGAAATTCTCCCTTCTCCATCCCCGTCTAAGTCCTACTCATCTTATGACCTCAGCTGAAACATCATTTCCTCAGAGACGCCTTCACAGAGCTCCCTGATTAGGTCAAGTCCTCCTACTCTTTCACAGCACCATGGACCTTTCCTCTACAGCTCTTATCAGAGTTAAAATTGGCCAATTAGATGTGTGCTTATTTGATTAAAGTCTTCGTCCTCACTAAAGTGTAAGGTCTAGAGGAGTGAGAGCTATACCTATACTGACTTACTATTATATCCTTTTCTTTAGCACAATGTGTAACACATAGTAGGCATTCAATAAATAGGGTTGAATAGAAGATGTATGGATAAATGGATGGATGGATGAATAGATGGATAGATAAACAGATAGATGGATGGGCGCATGAATGTGGCTGTAGGAAAGGACACATAGAGAAGAGTAGCTAGTGATGAAACTAGAGATTTTTTTCTAGGGCCAAATAAAAAAAGAACCATTTTCATTTATTTTTTTCTTTTCTTCCTCAGCTATTCCTTTACCAGCTATTCCTTTAATTACCTACCACCAGGAAAAGTGGGGGAAGGGGGCTCAAATCTTCTTATCATTTATTCAAGTAAAATGAGCCCCCTACTTCAGGAAGACAAGTGGTCTATCCTGTGACTTTGTGTACCCCAGCATACAAGAGTGTGTCTCCCAGCATAACCATACTTTAGTTGGGAAAAACTTGGCTAGACGACAGTCTTTATAAATGGTAGAAGTGATAACTTGTCCAAGGGCTGTTGGGATTTAAAGCCAGGTGGGCTGACTGTAGAGGTTTGTGGGAAGATGAGAGACAGCTAAATGACTACAGAGTCCATCCTCCACTCATTCCAAGATGTTAACAATGCCTCCTTTCCTTCCTGCCTCTCTCCCCCTTTATAGCCCTTCATGGGAGACAATTACTGTGATGCCATCAACAACAGAGCCTTCTGCAACTATGATGGCGGGGATTGCTGTGCTTCTACAGTGAAGACCAAAAAGGTAGGCCAGTGTGTCCCCCTTGACAGCCGCCTCCAGCAGGCCTCCCAGCTTACTGGACAGGATCACCCCTATGTGCTGGACAACCCATTGTCCTGGTTGTGTCAGCACTTGCCTACAAGCTTTATTGTATTGTAGTGTAGTGTAGTGTAGTGTATTTTTTATTCTTTTAGTTAGTAGTTGAACAAATATCATGTGCTGAGCCCTGAGCTAGGTGTGGAGGCTCATGGATGATCCAAATGGATTGTAAATGTTGTCTCTCACCCTCAAAGCTTAGAGTCAGGTATGGAAGCAGACAAATAAAAATGTAATAAATACTTTTAGAAGGGAAGGACAGAGTGCTATGAGGGCCCAGGTAAGGGGTGGAGAACACTCTGCAGAAGGATTGGCATCGATGCTGAAACCTGAGGGGTAGAGGGGAGACCAGGAAAAGAATGTCTGGGGCAGGAGACTGACATGTAAAGTCCTAGAAAGAACATGCATTTTTAGGAGGTATGGCTAAGGTGTAGGGGAGGAGAGAAGATGGGACATTCCCAACAAGGTCAGTCATGGCCTTTAAACATTTATAATTTCCTTTGTTCTTCATATCTGTAGAATTAGGAGGTGTGGTCTTCATTGTGATTTTCTTCCTTTGTGTGTTAGGATTCAAGTGTTTATAATAAAACTGGAACATTCAACTGAGATGCATTTCAGCCACTCACAGAAGAGTGGCCATCTCCATTTTCCTTTTGATGAGAGCCAGGGCCAGAGTTTGGGGCCCTATCTGAGAGCTGGGGGAGAGGTGGTCAATGTGGGCAACCCATGTTGAGAAGTGCCCTTGGGATGAATGAGTTGATGGGAAACTATTTCTAATTTTATATTCATCTATAATCTGAGTTGAAAGATCGTTTGATCTCAAAGATCATTTGACCTAATCTCTCATTTTAAAGAAGGGAACTATGTTCTTGAGACAGGAAGGGAAAAGAATCATAATCAGTTTGGCTGAAGAGTCCTCTGTGATTATCCGGTCCAAACTTTTCATTTCATTAATGGGGGCCCTGAGGCCCATAAAGGAGGAATGATTTCTCTATGATGGCAGAGTAAGTGATAGAAACAGAGCAGCGTTCCTGGCTTCCTATCCAAGGCCCTTTATATTGCAACATCCTTAAGATAATTAGTTCCTTCAAGAAAGATGCCCTGACTTAAAATGCAGGGGATGAACAGGGTAAGACCCAAGGGACACACTCAACTCGCAGGACTGTTACCGCATCTTCTGGTTGGTGAATAGGATTCTGGGGTTCTCTGGGATCATTTAATCCTGTATGGGCAACACTTTTCAGCATGGCTACCCTCCTGTTTTGTTTTTTTTTAAATAAAACACTGAAGGTATACACTTTCTGCTCAAGTTCAGGAGAATACAATTCATTTTCTGTTAATGAATTTCGTTATTTTTCCCAATTATGAAACAAGATATATTCTAATTTTTGGAAAATCCAGAAATAGAAGAGAACAAAAGAATTCACTGGTTATCTTACAACCCAAAGATAATCACTGCTTTTCTTTTGGTGTATTTTACTGTGTACGTAAGTATGTGGGTATTTGGGTCTATGTATACATTACTGCATTTCTAGTTAGGATCTTGTTTTGTTTTGTTTTGTTAGTGCAGGAAATCTTACACATAAGAATGATCTGACATTAGTATAAACTTCTCAGGTGTATTTTTTTCTATATTACAATTTATTTTATGGTTTTGATATATGATAATTTATGTAGCCATTTACCTCCAACTTTTATTTTTAACTTTTGAATTATTTCAGTTTCTCACAGTGATTAATAATGATGCTAATGAACATCTGTACACATAAATATTTGTATAGCTCTAATTCTTCCTTTATAATTGATTCTTAGAGTTGAAATGACTAGGGAAATAGGTGTAAGCACTTTTAAGGCCCTTGATAACTGTTGCCAAATGAACGCAGTATACAATAGTGTCTATTTCACTCCATTGGAATCAGCCATTTTTGAAAGTAAATGGACAGTGGTTTGTATTTTAAATAGAAGTTTGCGTAGAATTATGACACATTATTCATCTGACACCATCAGTTGCAGAAAGAGCAGCTCTGATTAAAAGAATTTTCCTACCAACTATAACTTATGTACTAAAACATAAAAAAATGAAACTAATTTATTTTTATTGGGAAACTTCCTTAAATGGATTGCTATTTCTACAGAGTGTATGGTGGGATGTGAAGTGATAAGATTGAGGTTCACAAGCAGATTCTAAATTTATATATATATATACACACACAAATACATATATACATCAAATGGCCACTTGGACTCTCTGTTCCTATACTGGGTTCAGCTGCAGCCGTTTCAGACTCCAGATGAGCACTGCCTCTTTACTAAGGGACCCAGAGTCGTTTCTTTGCTAGTTCTGAATATACTTCCTAGGGTCTTTTCTTTTTTCTTTTCTTTCACTCACATTATAAATGTAATTTTGTCCTTCTGTGTTAAAAGATCCCCTACTTTTACTTTAAACTGTTGTTCCTTCCTGTCAGTCGAGGCTGCAGAATAAGGAGCAATTGGCCAAGCTTCCTTCATACAATAAGATGCATGTTCACTGAGCATCTCTGTGGGCTGAACACTGGACCAGGCTGGGTGCACATGGCAGCATCCAGACAGACACGGTGCTTGCCCTCATGAAGCTTGTAGTTTATTAGGGGAGCCAGACATTAGGCAGTGAAGTACAAACTAGGCATTGAATTACCTTTGTGGAAGGAGCAATGAAGGAAAGGCACAGGATCTTACAGAGAGCAGTGTGAAGGTCAGAGAAAGCTTCCCCGAGGAAGTGATGTTTATGTTGAGACCTGAAGAACTAGTAGGAGCTTTCGTGGTGAAGGTGAATAGTGGTTGCGGGGCAGAATGGAGAGAGCTATTAGAACTCTGTGTGACATATGGATTGGAGACCTACAGGCTTCTCTTATGTGCATATGGCTTTGCCATAGGTTTTAGTTGTTCAGAAGTGTTTGGGGCTTTCTTTAGGTTCAAGATTCCTGGAAGTCTGACTTCTAGAAAAGGTGTCTCAAATTGAAGTCGTATTTCTACAATTTAAATTTCCCAGTCTAACTTCTCCATAAACTTCAACTTTTTGAAACCTTTGTCTTCTCTTGTACCCACCCAACTAGTCCCTGCAGTAGACTGGTTTAGAGAGATAATAGGCAGAGAAAATAGATAATAATACAAGATACCCCTAAGTGGACTGCCGCATATGCCAGACCCTCCCAGACACTTGTCCTCCATTATCTTCTTTAATCTTCATGTCAACCCCGACAGGTGGTTCTTATCCCCATTGTATAGAAGAACCAATTCGGGCTTAGAGTACTTATGGGACTTGCTTGAGTTCAGTTGGCTGCAAGGGCCAAGGCCCAAATTCGAACCCAATTCTGTCTGCCTCACAAGCCAGCTCTTTTTGCTGCTCAGGGCTGAGTCTCAGAAAAGGAATGTAGGTGGGGCTAGGACCTTGTCCTCAGCGCACTTGGGCAGGACCCTCCTGTTGCAGTTGGAGAAATTTCACTGTGAGCCCAGACTGCCAGGCAACCTTGGGTGTGGGACCCCTCTCCTTGGCAAAGGTGAAAACAGCTTTTCCCAGCAGCAAAGACAGGGTAAGGAGGAGTCTAAGCTCCCAGCCTTGCCAATCATCCCAGACAGGAGTTTCCCCTGAATGGAAAAAAGTTCTGGCTTCTGTCTCCAGCTTCCACAGCAGGAAGCCTCTCAGAGCAGGAGAGGGGCCAGTGGCTGGCTGCCTTTCTCTCATCCCCCTGCCCTTACTTGCTGGTCCTGTTTAGTTCCCACCTGTACTCTTGGCCACAGTTCCATATCGTGGGTAGTTCCCTGCCCATAAGCACCCAGCCTGGCACTTGGAAACTCATCAATAGGGCAGATTTGCTTCATGTACCTTCCTAAATTACAATAATTTTATTAATTGAGCACTTACTATGTGCTTGGCCATAGGTCTGAATCTCTGTGCAGACTGTCTCACTTAAGACTCCAGAACCACCCAACAAAGTGGATAATTAAGGCTCAGAGAGGTGGAATCAATTTGTCCAAGGTGACAGAGCTGTGTGTAGGATTTAGGATTTCCTGACTCCAAATAAATACTAGTAGCTCCTATTTATTGAGAGCTTGCTATTTGCCAAGCATAGTGTTAACTGCTTTTATACGTGTAATTTCATCTCATCAGCACAGTAGTCCTGTTTTACGTTTTGTCTTTTTATCCTCATTTTATAGATGATGCAGCTGAGGCTGAGAAGGGTTAAGGCCATATGTGCAGTAAGTGGTAGGGCTGAGATGCAAACCTCATGAGTCTAAGCCACATGGTACCTGCCTCTAACCCCTGTTCTGAACATCCTGTTGCAATGAGCTTGCGTCTTGCCCTTCCCCTGGAGGGTGAGCTTCTTGTTTCACAGTCCTCCTGGACCGGAGTCCTGGGTATGAGCTCTGGGCCCAGAGTTAAGCACTCAACACCTTCTCCCAGACTTCCTTCTTGCCAACTCTCCACCTCAACCTCTTCTCCGTCCCCAGAGCTTGGGCCTCCCTGTCACTTGGCGCAGAATAATGTCTGTCTGCTCCCTCCATCCTTCCTCCCCTTGTCTGTCTGTGCAGACACCAGCTGTTCCCACATCTGCCTTGTGGGGTGACCTGGGCCCGGCTGGCAGACAAGAACAAGACAGTGCAGGAAACTCCGTCTGACAGGGGTGACCAGCCTCCTACCCAGACACCTGTCTGCAGTGTGCAGCAGACAGGAAGGGGCAGGACTCGGCTTCTCAGCATGTCAGGTTATTATTTTCCTGTTGAAGCCTTGAGGAGTCTCAAATATGAAGCAGATTCCCAGAACAATTGCTGCAACAGTTTCCCCTCATAACAACAACAAAAAATATTCATTTATAATTGGAATCATTCTAAGTAAGTATGTGTTGGGGATGTGAGGGAGGGAGGGGAAACCACCTGAACATATTCAACAT